GAGAGAGACGGGAAAAGAGAGAATCCTAAGCAGGCTCCACAGTGCCAACACTGGGCCGAATGCGGGGCTCGAACCCATGAAGCTGCAAGATTATGACCTGAGCTGAAACCAAGAGTCAGATGCTTAACTGACTGGGCTACCCAGGTGCCCCTCAGTTTTCTTTCAAAATAAATGCTTCTTCACATATTAGGAAGTTAACAAGTTATTTTCCCTGAGAATTTCCCAGAGTGTTTTAAAGGATATGACTTAATCTCAAAAAGGTTATTTGGTTGGGGTTGAGACAAATATTTAAGAAAATTACACATATGAAATAAAAAGAAATTTCCATAACCATGTTGCAGTGAAACATAGTCCATATATAATGAAGCCACACTAGTAAAAGATTTCCTTTCAAACACAGGTGCAAATACTGGCCATTCTTGACCTTGCATCTGCAAATGCCCTTATGATTTCTGGTGGATCAACCTTAACCAGCATTTCTAGGCACTGGCTCCAGGTGAAGGTCCTGGGCTAGCTGCCTTCCTAAAGAGGGATGCGCACACGCATGCACATGTGCATACAGTCACACACTCCCAGTAGCTGCTGAGCCTGCAAGGAAGCCAAATACCACCTTGACAGCAACGTGGTGAATTGGGGCAGCTTGGGGAAAGGACAGGCATCTGGGAACAGGATGATCCAACAGGGCCCATCATCTTAAAGGGGCACTTAAAATCCCTAAAAAGGACTGCAGAGAGACCTCTGTCCCCAGTGAGTGTTACAGCTGAGGAAATAAAAGTCCAAAGAAATTAAGAGACCTGCCCAAGACACCCCACCCACTTGTGGCAGCACAGGAACTGGAACCCTGGCCCCCTACCCGGTCTCCTAGCATTCTTTCCTGCCTATACTGCTCAGAAGTGACTGAATCATCCATTTTTCTCCCACGTCCAAATATACCAGGGCCAAGAAAGTAGAGGTTGGAGGACATTAACACGTCTTTTCATTTACAAAACTGTCATTCTGGCTGAGGTGATGAAGAGGACCCTTGGCTTCACCAAAGCTGCCTCTTGTCTTAACTGCTCCTGGTCAAGGCTGCTTCAGCACATCCGCCCTCTGGCCAGTCGCTAGCCAGTCACTAATGTGCCTGGAGGTAAACATGACAGAAACACTGAAACCTACCTTCACAAATTCATAAAGGCAAAAATGTTTTGAGCATCAAAATTATTTTCAGTTACTGAAAAAGATAAGCAACACGGGTCCTCACTGCAATATGGAAGCTTTATGAACCCCTTTTTTACAGAATAAACACTTTTAGGCACTCATGTTCTGCTCTATATGCAAATCTTCCCTGACTTAGTAATAAAAGTAGAAGTAAAAAAAAAAAGCCCAATCTGATAGCAGCACATTTCTTTTCTGTGACCAAAGACTACTGTGTCAATGTTTATAGAGGTGAACTTACTTTGAAAGTAATTTAGCAATGAAATCATGTGGCTAAACACACTGATATTTATTTATTTATTTATTTATTTATTTAAGTTCAATAAAAAGCTCAAGAAGTGAGTGGCCTCTCAGATGCAAGGGTTTTCTGTGCTCACACAAGCACACCCACATTTCTTCAACATACCATTTCGCAAGTGCTGTGTATTATTAAGAGGAGGCGGATTCTGCCAGGCACATAATTTGTATATTTAAGGGAGGTGTATGGAATGAAAAAGCGAAATATGTTAAATTTCAAAGGACTTGGAAGCAATGCTGCCTGTGAGCTTGTATTACAAATAGCCCTACATTATTACATACGCTATTAATGAGGCTGAGTGAATGAAAGTACAATTTGAATATGCATGACTCTACCCAATGAGCAGGACTTTTGTGTACTGATGAGGTTTTTTTCCCCCCCTCCTAAAAAAGGATTAAAATTATTCTTAGAGAAGTATGGCTGCCCAGAGACCAGTAAAATAAATGGACTTAGACCAGAGTCATACTATATTCAGCTGAAATATACAGGTGCTAAAAGAAATGCCTTTGACTCTACCTACAATTTTTGAAACTTGTGCATAATCCTGTCCTCCTCCAAAAGCATATTCCTCAATTTCAAGTGGCTGCATCAATACAATTTTTAAACAAAAATAACAATTTTGGTGGAGACCCGTAAAAGTAGGCAAGGTTAAATAAACCTTTTGAGTACAAAGCCTTTACTTCCACAGTGAGGAGCACTAGTTAAAAGACTGGGGAATGGGTAAATTATTGCACCAAATGGCTGAGAATTAATCTCTGCTGACTAGCTGTAATCTAACGAGGCGTCTGTGTCCCAGGGAGCCCGCAGCATGTCCCTGGCGGTATGTGCAGTGTGTCGAGTCTGCGTGGCACCCTTTGTCCTCGCTCACAGGCGGCCTTTCCCCTCATTGTCCATAATATCCTCATGCATCTGGGACGCGTGGAATGCATTCATACTAACAGACTTACCATTGTTTTCTCTCAGAAGCTTTGTTGAGCAAAGACTGCATCACGGTTACTGATAATTATATTGCTTAATTAATCAAGACAAAAAAAATTTGCAAATCATTGCCTGGTTGCCAAGCAGGGAGATAAAAAATGACAACAATACAAGCTGAAGCAATATAACAAAAGTAACAGCTATCTGATCAGAAATTCTTATATAATGAAGCTATTAATGCTAAATCGGTTAATGTTAACATTGCTCCAGGTGTCTCTACTTAGATGCAAACAAAAAGGCTAACATTATGGATATAAAAGGCCAAATGTTGCCATGGATTCTGTAACCTGATAGAGAGGACAGCCTTTTCATTTGATTAGGGAATGCAATTTAAATACCAGGGACTGAAGCCAAACAAACAGACTTTCCCTCCACAAGCCTCTTGCATTCACCCTGGGGTCAGTGGTTGGTGAACAAAAGGTCAGCCACACTTGCCCTGGAAATGTCTGGATTAATTTTATTACATTGTAATGGTTTGTACTTTAAATGTGGGGATAACGCTAAATTTTCAGTTGGCCATTATTCTCTTCTTCCCTTTAGGCTTTTTGAATTGAAATATTAAGACAGCGATTTGCTCAATTCATCTTGTCAAAATTTATGACCAAATTTATAAAACTTACATTCTCTAAAGAAATTTTAAAAAGGTATGTTAGTACTTGTTTTCATGTGTTAAAAATTTAATACCTTTTTAAAAATCACTTTCAAAGAAAGTTTAAAGTGTCACTCTTCACACTATAAAATGAATTGAAATACCTTTTATATTTCTTTATTTACTACAAAAATAAAGGAGATGTTTTTAGGATGCTAAATGATGTTTTACAGGGCCATGTTGAAAATGAACTAATGAAGCCAGTTAATCCATACTAAGTATTAAAGAACCACATTTTCTCGATTTGGAAGCTATAGGACACTGAATCTAATTATTAATGTTTTCTGCTGAAAACGTTAGTGTTCTTCCTGGACAGACACAAATGTTATTAGCACTCAAGGCCATTTTCTTACACGAGAGCGAAAACTTCACACACACAAAAACATGAATCAAATATAACACCAAGGGGTCAGTTAAGTGTCTGACTCTTGATTTCAGCTCAGGATATGATCTCATGGTTTGTGGGATCAAGCCCCACGTCAGGCTCCGTGCTGAAAGCATGGAGCCTGCTTGGGATTCTCTCTGTATCCCATTCTCTGCCCCTCCTATGCACGCATGTGTGCAGTCTCCCTCTCTGAAATAAATAAACAATAGGAAAAAAAAAAAGAAAGATAACACCAATATTTACTATGAAGAACTTGAGGCATCTTCACTCCCTGAATAGAAAAGAGGATTTTCTTTATGTCAGGCGCCTCACCGGCCAGAGTGAGACTTTCCTAAATTCAGAAGGTAACCCACACTGTGTCTAGACTGAGAAATGATAAGCATGTTACACTTGGGATTCATTATTTACTCTCTTTTCATGGTAGTGACTGTAATAGAAAAATAACAGCAGTAATAGTAATAATATCCAACAGCTTTTACTCTGAGCCAGCTACGGTTTGAAGCACCTTTCATTTCTTAGCTCTTTAATGCTTACAGCTTTAACACCAAAGATTATATTAAAATCCCAGTAAATGACAGTTACCGCTTATTTTAAAGCTCAAAAACAGAGGGTTTAGAATGGTAACTTTTAACCTCTTTAGTAGAACAATTTGGAACAAAAATGAAGATCACACTTAATACCAAGCTAGAGCATGAAGTTGTTTTCTTGAGGAGTGACTTAACTATGCCTAACATTTAATTAAAAACTTAAAAATGAACCCTTCTATTAATAATTCCAACACAAAAACAAGTCATTATATAAAGCATGGCTAAAATACCAGTAAAGGCATGGCAAGGATCGAAGCCCCAGCCAATTTACTACAGGGCACATAACCATTGGATTGTTCCAGCCATTCCCATGATCGATACCAATTGACATGGTTGCATTGATCCAGTGGCAAGGTGCTTCAATTGTTAAAAGTCATCACATGGGCTGTGTTGCAGAGGCCTAACCTCTTCACAGACATGCCTGCAATCCTTCAGGATTGACCCCTATTAGCAGCAGTCAGAGGCTCGGTGAGCAGTGCCTGTTTGTCATGCCAGGTCGAATTCTGTACCCGTGGCCAGCCACAAAATGCTTGATGTGACATGGGGTTCTTTCAACTCTTATTATTATTATTATTATTATTAATCAATGTGTCCCAGATATAAAATTAAAAATTTTTTAATTAAAAAAAATTAAATTTAAAACATTTAAAATATCATGAATGTGTTTATGTTCTAATTTTTAAAGAGTCTAGCAATAAAATACAGAATTCTGTGCTCATGAGGAAAGATACTCTGAAAATCTCAATTCATACTGAATTTCTTTATAGCATGTGTAATTCAGATACATGTGAGACATTCACCAGTTGGACAAAAGTCCCCTTTAACATATTTATATCATTGTTTCTCAAGAACAGTGAATTGTATGGCAAATGCTGTATGAGTCAGCGTGATAATGCGGTGAAAACGTACCTCGGGTTTCTTCGTGATCGCGATAAAGAACATGTGATTCTTCACTGGGTAAATAATGATTGAAACGTCTCCAAAGGCAGTCGGGATAATGCCCCTGCGGTAGTCCCTGAAGTGTTCAGACCAGACGATGTGGACCTCGTCATTCCCCAAGTGACGAAGCTGCAATGGCCAATTGGCTCTTTATTAATCAGAGTGATAACAGCAGTTTATGAGGGGTCGTGGCTTACAAATTGAATTATAATACTCAGAGGCAAAAGTATTTCACTACCAAACAAAGGTATAACACTGCTGTCTTCTATGAGGATTAAAAAAAACACAAGTACATGAAAACACCTCTCACTTTTTATGAACTACACTAGCATTGAGATGATGCATAGAAGCACAGAAGGTACGTTATGCCTGGATGGGGACAACACCTTTTCGAGGATTTTGTTAAATTGAATTTTACTCTTGCATTAAAGCCTTATGTTTCATATTGCTGAGCGTGTTTCTAAACAATTAACAACATGATCCTTTTATTCCATATTACAATACGGCTTCATAACATTCTTAATTCGATGGTTATTAAGAAAAAAATTTGAATACAAGAGAACATAAGCCACTCTAACACAATTACCAAATGTATAAGAACTAGATTTGTGACAAAGGTTTAAGAAAAAGTTTGCATAAATTACCTTTGTTTAAGAAACTAATAAACACGACTTCAATTTAATAAGAACACTAGTACCTAGCCTTCAAAGAGTGCCTTCCTATCCAGAAAGTATGTTCGCATGTATTATTTTCTTTAGCCTTTCCGCGTACTCTCTGAGGCAGGAGACATCATCTTTCTGTTACGTGACAAGAAGGAGATGGGGCTCAGGAAGGCAAAGACAGCACCTATACAAGGTACATGAACAGTGAGCAGCACGGCGGGCCTGGCCAGGCCTCTCAGTGCCATTCCTACTGCTCACAGCCACCTAAGCCAGGTGTACTGCCACAGCTCAGATAGTGTGGCCCACTGTTTTTGTCATTTTATACACAAAGAGGCCATCAAGTCCAAAAACAAGTCAGAGACTCCTGGCCTCTCTGAGCAGGGGAAGGGGCCCTTTGAGACTTCCTCCTGGGCCAAGCTCTTCAGACCCAAGAACGTCTTTGATAAAGCTCCTGCATAATGACTGCACATCCTGGGCTGGAGAAAGCCACAGATGAAATAAGCCTGAAAATGTGACTAAAAGAAACTAGATTATAAAGACTAAAATGTTGGCCAAAATTGAAGTCCTACAACCATAAAAGCTGACTGGTGAAGGTCCTTGGACACCTATGGAAAATCTAAGGTTTGGTTCTCCCACACACTGCAGGAGAATGCTATCTACCACCACGAAAAAAGTATTTCTGGCTTCCTAGCTTATTTAATAGACGAACCCCCCCAAACATGACTAAATTCAGGGGCACCGTTAATCAAACAGGGATGTTGTGCGAAAGGTAACGTTTTCGTTTTGTGTTAAGATACAAAACATGAAAAAAAATGCAAAAAAGGGGATGCTCTGGAATATCATATATTTAAAACATGATCGCATAAATACAATTTTCTTTATAGACTATTTGATCACAAAAGAAAAATCCAAGGTGACCCCCAACATGGCCTCCTTTCCATTTACAAAGTTAAAGGAAGTTGGTTTGCTGCAATGATTTCTTATTCTTCACTCTTTCATGTTTCTGGGAAAGTCAATTTTTTTTTACTCTCAATTTTTTTTAATGTTTATTTATTTTTGACAGAGAGAGAGAGAGAGAGAGACAGAGAGACAGAGCATGAGTGGGAGAGGGGCAGAGAGAGAGGGAGACACAGAATTTGAAACAGTTCCAGGCTCTGAGCTGTCAGTACAGAGCCCGACGCGGGGCTCGAACTCACTGACAGTGAGATCATGACCTGAGCCGAAGTTGGACGCTCAACCGACTGAGCCACCCCGGCGCCCCTAAGTCAATTTTTTTTTAAAAAAGACTTACGCCAGTACCTTTGCTCTAGGGAGGGACAGGTGTATCTGCAGGTGGCCCCTACAGTGAGGGGTGCCTGATTCAACTATTCTGAACATGAACTCTGGGACAAATGTAACTGTGGGTATTCAGTACGAGTCATGATGATCCAGAACAATTTAATGGTGCCTAAGACTTTCTAAATATAAAATTATCTAGTATGATTCTTTTTTTCTTCTTCTCCCCCTCTGACATGTAAAGGCTAGAAGGGTAGAAGGTGAAAGGTGTAGCCAACCCATTCTACCCATAAATAGTTAAAAGAAAAAAAAAAAGACACTGGGTTCTCACAGCAACACTGAACAGCTCTCTATGTTTCTCTATTTCCACCTCTCTTTTCTCTTTCCTTTTTAATAGAACATGCCAGGCCCTCACAACACACTCCTGAAATTCAATCCTTTTGGAGTAAAAACATGGTAGCCAGCATCACCAGCAGCACAGTAGAGGCATGTTTTCAAGGGAAATAGGAATAGTATCAAACTGAAATTTTGGGAGGAATTTAGACCGGCAGAAGGTAATTGTGATAGTGGGGCTACTCTCATCCTATAAAGAGAAGCAACCTTCTAGGTGGTTATATGCCCCTTGATATAATGCTGGCACTAAAGTCAGAATGGGAAGAACATATCTACTGAATACCCTTCAAATGTGGGGCTACCACCTAATGCCAGCACCCTAATGCCTGTGATGGCTCCTCTCAATCCAGAAGTATAAGCTGCAAGGCATTAGGTAGTACAGTGATTACTGAACTTTAGCACTTACTGTGCCTTTCTCAATTAGGTTCCTCAATTATATAATCCAAGCAAGTCTTTCATAACTCTGTTTGGGCTGTGGTCTCAGAACCACAGCCAGGGAGACCTGTCCTCCCAGTGTGGCATTTTTGTAGGTAAGGAAAGGCTATTTTTGTGTGGCAATGATACAATATTCATTCTTTCAAAGCTGCTTTCAATGTCATGTGCCCCAGATCTCTGGACAAGTTATAGTTTCATTAGCTAACTCGCAAAACTCAGAGCTAAGGCCACAGGACCTACTGACTGATAGATCTGGAGCAAGGAGCAAACACATGCCCTCTTCCACCTCAGACAAGAACACAAGCAGGTGAAACAAGTAAAACTAACCTGGCCAAATTGTCTACCATGTCAGAATATGAAGGAACACTCTGGAAACTTCCATGAAGCTTCTGGAAGCTCAGTTTAAAGGGGCTTTCATTACAGAGATGTCATTTTGTGAGTTTTGGAGAATTCAGAATCGAGGCCCCCAAACTGAAGTCCACCAGTGAGTTTGTTGCATGCACGCAAGTCAAGCTGGCACGACTCGTGTAATCTGGGAGAGGCTGATGAGTCTCATCCTGGGATGGAGCTGTCATTCATGCCAGCTACTGCTTCAGTTGCACAACAGGCTCCAGAACGTGCGGATGCTTAACAGGCTTGGAACAAATGCTCGGTTCTTAAGTCTTAAGAAATCAACCCCATGTCCTGCCACTTCTCGTCCTGACAGAGTTTTAAAGTCCCTCTGCCTGGCCCATTCTGCCTGCTGCTGCCAGGCGGCACGCACTGGTGACACTGGTCATGGTACACACCTAATAGGCTGACCTCCTTTCCCGACTAATTGCATTACATCGCCAGCTGGCTCCAGAAGGAGTCGTCTGTTTGATTGAAGAATTCCTGCTCCTCAGTGGGCCCGGCTGCTACTTTTACTAAGTAACAGTCAGGCCTGACATCCCCATTGTTCAGCTGACAGTGTGCCCATCCTAAAATCTAAGTTTTATTTGTAAATTAACCAAGAAACTTCCTGCCAGAACAGTGCTGCCTAGAGACTGATAATGTGGGCCTTTCATCCCTTTTCACTCGTACTGTATCACTGCCAATTTGTTTTTTATGCGGCTGGCCAGCCTGAGGCTATAAAAGCCTTGTAAGACATAAGTGCAATTATAGTCCTGGAGTCAAATGAATTGGACAAATCCAATAGCACAGCTCTGTCCCCACTCTGCAAACCCCTACAGCAGTTAGATTAGCTGTGAAAAATCTAATCTAGCTAGAGCTAACAAATTTCTGCAGTGAAGGATCAAGAGTTCAGTATGGGGTTGCAACCGGATTGCAGAATTGAAAAAGTGCCCCCATGACAGGGGCAGAAGAGAGCATGAATCACTTTAGAATTTTGCAGCTCATTTTTAAGCTGTTAGGGACAATTTAGTTAGAATAAGACAAGGAACTGTGGGCTGCTGTTACTGTGACTGATTTTCAGTCTGGCTGTGAGACATCCTGATAAAGAGAGTTTGTCACTAATGATGCTAAATCTAGGAGCTGCAAAAGGTATCAGCTGAATTTTGATTATTACAGTAGGGAATCTTTCAACCAGGCCAAGCCTTGCAACATTATTTATATAGTAAGGCACTGTATCAAGAAAACACGATGTCTTTTCTCAAAATAAATAAATAAGAGAAAGAAAGAAAGAAAGAAAGAAAGAAAGAAAAAGAAAAGAAAAAAAGAAAAAGAAAGAAAAAAAGACAATCCTACTTAGGAAATAATTAAAAAATAGTTTAAGTAAACCTATTAACAACAATAGTTCTCAGTCATAAAAAAAATCAGAATATGGCAACACATTTGCGGATTAGCAGAAATTTACAAGGTACTACAAATAAAAAGGATGTGTAAGCCTTGCCTAAGCTCTTGGTAATCTGAAATAGAGCAGGGTCTCCTTCACTAAGAACGCCACCACCAGGGAGGCCAAGACCTAAGGCAGCTCCTCCATGGCTCAGGAAACAACACACGGCCAGTGGAAGGCCATGCTAACAGGTGGCCCAGACAGTGAAAGCCCATCATGCTTTGCACATCCCAGACACTTGGACACTGTGAAAGTTGTCTGTGATTGTGCCACAGTCTGAGTTCTGAAGTTTTATGAGCACCACTATCCCCGATGTAGGTGGTCTAAACATTTGGGGCTGCAGTGAGTAAAAAACAAAACCGCAGAGAAAAGAGATGAGGCAGGTAATAGTGGGGTCTGCTGGCCAATATCAATCACCTCCTAATGAGTCAGGAGGAAAAAGACTCAATTAGACTGGTGGGCAATGATGAAGGCTGACCATTAGAGATCTTAGACTAGGCACCATGGTAAGTAGTTTCACAGGCATTATCCATTTATTTCACAACAACCTTGGCACACAGGCTGTTTTCAATCTCGTTTAGTAGATGGGGAAACTGAGGCATGGGCTAGTAACTGGATACACAGTTAAGCCCAGGTCTGTTGGTCTCCAGACCCTGGCTATAACCAACACAGTAGGTCCTCCAATGGCAAACTTAGCTCCCGAATAAGCTGCCTTCCCATCCACTCAGGTGCTGTCTGCAGTTTTCGTGCATCCTTGCAGGAAGAGAGTGGGTGTGAGGTAAGGATTCCAGGCTTGCTCTGCCACCCACTAGCAGGCTAGCTACAGTTGTTCCTTTCATATGGAAACTCACAGAAGTGGGTCAGATTTCTAGGCTTGCTTCGCAGACTAAGATTCCTCTTCTGTTAAGGAACTCCTCACCTCTAAGAGAGAATCACCTGAAGTGAACACCATGGATATCAGAAAGTTCAGCATCATGTTCCCCTGGGGCGGTTCCTCAGAGTGGAGGAGGTTTCCTCTGAATTCTAGAGAAAACTATCCAGAAGGCCCAAGTTGAAAGAGAGACGAGGTCAGTGCCGAAAGTGGGACCCTTAGACTGCAGCATACTTGCACTTGTCATTTTCGCAGATGTTGCCCAATTGCCCCCAGCAAGCTTGAGAGGTGCCGGCCTCTCAGCTCTCCATCAGTACAGGGTCATCTTATGACCTCTGCCAACCTGAGAGGTCAGCTATGTTATTTTCTGTCAGTTAATAGTCAGGTGAGAGAAGACCCAAAATTAACAACATTTAAGCCCCTTTCTTTTCCTAAATCTTAATCTCAGCATTTAAGACTCAAATGATTGATTGCTTTTCATTTGTTTCTTTATCCAGTTTGCGCCAAGCTAGATATTTCAGATTAAACTACAACTGTAGCTTGAGAAGAGCAATACTGAAGCTGCATCCAGAGGAAAGCAGTCTCAGTGCATAGTTATGCCAAGGCCTTTGATCTGGACTAGGAGACCCTCACCCACAAACCAGGGAGGCTAAGTGTGGTCTTCAAAGAGGCTCCTTACCTTTTTGGTGAGTGAATCATCTGAGTCTGATGGCATCCGAGTTGAAACGTGGAAAATCACTTCCACAGTCGAGGTAGCATAGTAAGGGGCAGTCTGCCCCGTGCTGCCGTTGCGCTGAAGTCCACCCATGAACCCACAGTGGGTTGAGAGATCCACCTGATGAGGGTAACAAAGAGGAAAGAATGAGAGTCAAGCATCAGTTATCCTCATTCACCTAGCAGGAATGCCCATTTTTTGAGCAATCTAATTACTTTCATTTTTATAGCTTCCTGATGACAAACAAATGTAATACTAAGTTAGACAAAATTAAAATATGAAAGAAACATTAACAATGAAAGTGGTTTGAAATCCTACCAGCTTAAGAAAATCACCATCAAAAGTTTGGTGCATATTTCTTGGGGCGCATGGGTGGCTTAGTTGGTTGGGTGCCCGACTTCCACTCAGGTCATGATCTCGCGGTTCATGGGTTCCAGTCCCACATTGAGCTCTGTGTTGACAGCTCAGAGCCTGGAGCCTGCTTCGGATTCTGTGTCTCCCTCTCTCTGCCCCTCCCCCACTCATACTTTCTCTCACTCAAAAATAAACATAAAGTTTGGTGCATATTTCTCTAGTTTTTTTCCCATCCTATACATATGTGTATATGTATATATGCATATATATACACATACATACATGTATTTACATAAATACACACACACACACACACACACACACACACACACAAAGAGATACCCTATTGATGGATTTATGGGATTTTCTGCTTTCTCAAACACAGCTGGTGTGGTCAAGCCACAAGGACCATTCCAGCAAATGTTTTGGTGGGATGTTATATTAAAGGGCACAGATGTTTTAAAATTTAACAGCCATTGATAAACTGTCTTTCAAAGGGGTTGTTCTGATTTACACCACTACTGCTAGTCTGGGAGTTATTCTTTTCAAGCTGTGGTGTGAATGCTCACTTCTTAGTGCCTAGGATCTCTCTCTTTTTTTAAAACTTTTCATAAACTAGAATTCTTTCAGTAAAGCACCTGTTGTAACACAAATGAAAAAAAAGCAATAGAAGAATCTCTTTTGTGACAAATACAATCAATATATACACTAAATTAATGTTCAAGTTTTTTCTAAAAACTCTAGTTAAGAATGTGTGGTTTAAACGGTGTATTAGTTAAATGATTAACTATAGTCTACAGCAAATAAGAAGTCACCTTATTAGTAAGAAGGACAATTTACTGAAGCGTAATAACTCTTTTAGACTAAAATCAACTTTACATTTTATAAAGTACATGGTTTTCACCTAGATGTAGGCTTCTCCTGTACCCATCTCCATATTAGTTTCCTTACTAACATTCAGCTCTCAGAGACAAGTCTTATTTAGGCATACAGAGAGTTTCTCACAGCACAGATAACCGAGAAACCAAAATAAAAGTAAGGAAAAATAAGAAAATTATTTCAGATATGCTGTTTCCATTATAACCACTCTGAGTTCTTTTAGATTCTAGAAATATATTTTCCTTTAGATTTATGTTCCTAGAGACTGTGTGTGTGTGTGTGTGTGTGTGTGTGTGTGTGTGTGTGTGTGTAAATGTATATGTCTGTATGAGCATCATTTAGCAAAGAAATAGCATATTCTTTCAATATCAGTCATCCTGGGATCTCCCTAAGGGAAACAGGTTGGCTGCTGAAGCATCAAAGCTACTCTACTCTATTTTCATGCCAGTTTTTTACTTCATCAGCTCTTTCTTCATGTTTTCACCCATCAAGCCACTGCTTAATTCTCCAGTCTCTACACTGGCCAAGCCATTGCTTTTTTAACCCATATTTGTCTTCTCTTACTACAAACTGTCTATGACTGAGTGAGCCGATCTATTTGATTCTGACAAGAAGTGAATGAAATATTATGAAAAGTTAAAGGGAAACAAAAGTTCATGTGAGAAGTACTGAAAAGCAACTAACACAAGATGTCAAATTCAATACATGTAGCACATGCTACATGTGCTAGATTTGAATACAAAACCTTGTACAACTGGTGTCTAGCTTATACACGTCCTTATATAGTGCTGGCCAATAAACACCTCTGAAATGAAATGAATTACCTCCCATCCAAGTCCAGCAACAAAGTCTTCATATGCTTGGCTTCCTCTTACATTGGAGAGGATAGAACACTTGTCTTCTTGACCTTCAGCAATGTAAAACACTGCAATTTTGTGTGTTTCACGGCTATAAAATTTTAAATTTAAAGGAGTTAGAATTCTTAGATTTAAAATTTTATTTCTATACAACCGCCAGCATGACTCCTGCTATAAAGCTTATATTTACGGAGAATCTACTAGGGGTCAGTCACTGTTCTAAGGAGGTTCGACACGTGATCTCATTGGCTCTTCACAACCACTCTAAAGAGACAAGTGATTATCACCACTTCCCTTGTAGAGGTGGTTGAAAGGAGGCACAGAAAATTAAACAGAAAGCACACAGAGCAAGCAGGAGACAGGGAACTGAAGCAGGGCAGTCTGGTTCTTGAGATTACTCTTTCAAACATGTGATATACAAAAAAATATATGTGAAAGCACTTCACATAGATATCAATTGAGAACAGATCTATGTCACTGCCCATATTTTACTTACCACACTTTGAGATAAGGACATTGGTTCCCTGATTAGAACTATAAACTAGACTATAAACTATTATAAGAAACAGAAACTTCTTCCAAGCAGAACACTTTCTTTGTGAAGAGGTACCCACTCCTTGCTCTGACTAATCTGAGGGAGTAAGGTAGGGTGGACAGATGACCAGGGAAACCTCTTAGGTCACATAAACCCTTCACCCACTTCCTCCACGATGGACTCTGGGCACTTTGCTATTAAACCAAGTAAACATGGCCTGCACTTTGAGGAAAGGAGTCCTGCCTTTTTACCTTTTGTACATCTAGCATGGTCATAGGCACATAGTAGCTGCTCAGTTAAATCTCTGTTGACCAGTAATCCAATGCTATAAATATATTAATAACCAATTTCTACAAATTATATCCTGCAGGGAAGTGTCAAAATAACTAGACTTTTACCCAGCAATTTGGTGATAGTTTAGGGATGAAGGCACTGTGCTAATTCAAACAGAGTTTTCATCAATGAGAACCACTCATTCCATGGCCCATCATCCCAAGAGTTTAATTCCAGTCTCTATTTTCTAAAATTTTGGATTACCACCTCCAGAGCAGTTCCATCTTTATTATTTTTGCATTGCATTCTGAAAAACTATCAAGAGCTCAAGCAATATGGAAATGTTTCTATTGTCTTAACTGTTCAACATCTCAACACTATAATCTGATTAGATATCTATACTGGTGGAATTTGGGCTCCAGATTTTAATATAGTCACAAATATCTCCTTCTTCAGGAGTTATGTTTCTACTTAATAAGCAGAATGAAATGAAACTCAACTAAAAAGTCATAAAAATAAATCAAGGAGGAGAACACTTTCCTTCTATTTATCTAGGTAGCTTATTCATTTTCCCCATAGTTTACATAAAATAAGCATACTGAAAAGAAGAACTAGAAAATATAGAAAGTGAAGAATAAAAAATTCACTTATGTTCTTAGCCTAAATGTTGAAATCACAGCTGTTACTATTTCAGGATGTGTTTTCACATATTAAGTGAGAAGCCACTATATCCTGTTTTGGAACTGATAAGTTTCACTTAAAATATTTGTGAACACTAATTTTTATTGTGTAAAATATGTGTAACATAAAAGTCACCATGTAAAACAACTGTTGAGTGGGAACACTTTTATACCATGTACTTGTATGACAAAATTATTAATGGCTGTATAACATTCCAGTGTATGAATATACCTTACCCCAAATCCTTGTCATTGGACATTTAAGTTGCTACCATTTTTAAAGACATTGTCATATTATCTCTAACATGTCCTTAGAATACATTCATAGAAATGGAATCTCAGTCATTGTCCATTTTGAAGGCTTTTGATAAAGGCTGTCTTGCTGCCCTTGGAGAAGGTGGACATCCTGAATGCCCTGACTGGCATGGTGCGAGCACACAGGTTGGAGACACCTCTCTTCACAGGTACAGTTGCTGCTGGAAGGGGGAAGTTTTGTGGTGATGGATCCAAGGGGGGCTGATGCTCTACAGTAGAGACCTTGAGCTCTCACACTGTCAGAAAACTTGTCCTCATGCAGCATGGAAACCCTGAAACTGCCACACCATATATTCCCTGAGTGACAGGCAGGACACATTTGCAGTCTATAATCTGCCTGGCTTATATTCTAGGAGCTATAATAACTTGGGGGTTTGGGTCTCGGATGATGACAGAGATCATAACCTATGACCTAAAAGACTCTTTCAACAAAAGGAGAACATGTACAGTTACTCAGTTTTTTTCTGCAGCTCTTTCTGCATATTAAAAAGTCCTCAGCATTTGATTGGTCTCTATTCTATATGTATTTATGCATGTATAAAGACCATCTCAAGTTTATCTGAAACATTTCTGTTGACGCTCCTCAAAGTCCAAGCTTTTTATATTGTAGCTGTTCACAGGTCCTTGAGTCCTCATTAACTCAATGTGGGAGCACAAGAGCTAAGCCCCAGTGACTGCCTGACTGATGTAGGTGTGAGGAAAGGTGACCTTTAGCTGTAAACATTCATCAAATTTCACATCCTCCAAAATGTTAGCACCACAGAGAGCCTGCTAGGATCAGACGCTGTGTCTGGTCTTATTAGAGCCAGGCTTTTGAAATGATAATTAGCAACAGCACTTCATATCCATAAGCTGCACCACCAATGCATGAAGGAGCAGGTAATTCAGGAACACACGTACATAAAATCAACAATTTCCTCTTCTTCATTAGAATGCATTTTTCTTTCTTATTAGGAATAGACTAGAATGGCTCGGTTTCCTTCTGCTGTCACATTAAAAGGCCTAACAAAGAAAAAAGATGATTTTAACTTTCACCTTACCGTGGGGTGACAAGAAGCATTAATATTTAAAAGAGGAGCCCACTGTAATTTGCATGTGCACTCATCATACTTTTTAACATCTTTGCTATCTTCACAGTATAGAGATGAGAGTTGCAAGACAGACGCCACACTTTTCCTAAGAACATGCTAAGCAGGAACTATGCCTTGACAGCAGGGAATAAATTGGTCTCAGAAATAGAGTCACACAAACTAAAAGCTGAGAGACAAGGTATGCTTTTACCTGCTAACTAACCAATACATGGGACAGTCTAGATTTCCCATAGATAAAGAGTCCCCAACTTTTTTTTTTCAAAAAGAACCTTGAAAACACCCTTTACAATAAAGTAAGTTGATACCTTTTTTAGATGTCAAGAAGACACTAAATCCAGGAGTTGGGGTTTTAAGGGAAGGTTAATCAAAGGACAGAGGATTTGCCAATCAGCTCCTCCAAAGCCATATTTTACAGCAACAGCACCCCAGGGAGCTCATTCAATTGTACCTCATGCAACTAAAGTGCATTAACACTCAACAAATTGGCCACAATTACAAGATACCAATGTATTCACTTAATACTAAGAAGCATGGAATAATTCAGCATATGCTTGAAAAGCTGAGTTTGGAACCCAAGTGACTGCTTGTTTAATACTGGAGGACAAGAGGGAGAGAGAAATGAACCCCCAAGCCCTTACAAGAAACCCCTCACAGAGTTTCCACAGAGAATTTGGTCTCTATTTCTCCAGAGAAAAAGAAGCGTAACAACAACTGGGAAACTGAATATGATGAAGAGCAGTGTGAGGAATAATGGCTTCAGGTTTTTCATCTGTAATGAGATACCTAATGATATTCCTGTGGGGACTAAAAGAGGAACAAAAAGCTATTTCTTTAAAAATGAGTTGTTTTTTTTTTTAAATTAAGATTAAGGAAGCAGTTTATTCAAGACTTTTAATCACCTGTTATGTACCAAGCACTACACTTACTGGGGTCTGAGATGTTTTTGGAAGCACACATTTCCCCAAATCAAAAACTGGTCATGAGTTCATCTTTAGAATTGCTTCTAAGACTTTACAGAAAAAAGGGACAGATCTGAGATTTGACTAGTTTTGAGAATAGGGCTCACTACTAGGAAGTCACTAATTAAAACACACTGCTTTTAAGCTTGCCAGCATTGTAGAGCAGAAACTACAGAATGCCAGTGCATAGGCACACGGCATGGGTTATGAGGTCAGACTCACTTGGTTCAAACAACATGGTATGTGTCAGTAAAGGGCACAGGTAGGTAGGCTGTTTGATTTAGGCAAGCCTCTGTTCCTCACTGGAAAAAGAGGTAGCTGCAGAGACTAAATGAGAATGAATGTCCACTGGCTGCCACTGTCAACCAAAGACACAGATTAGGTGGGAGCAATGACCTCTTCTTAGCGTAGCAAACATGTAAGGTTATTCCTTGAGAGTAAAAACACCAAAGGTACAGCATATGCAGATGGCACCAGATTCCAGTTACAGAATGACTTTTGGGTGTCTCGGAAGGTGCATTCATTCCTAAAGCTCTGTCATCCAAGCACATACAAAGACAGACAGGAATGAAGTGGTCTGATATACTTTTACATACCACTGACGGGAGTCCAGATTTTTTAGCTCTCTCAATAGTTTTGAATTTTTCTTCAACAGATGGAAATTCTTTCTATAAAAAAAAGAGATGGAAGAAAAGTCACGTAATCACAGACCAATTATGCCCTTTCCAATCAATCAACAAACCTACCTATTCATTCATCCATCCATCCATCCATCTACGTATCCATGACCCTCTTCATTCACGAAAGATTTGTGATCTAAGCCCACCGAATGAACTCCATTCTCCTTAAAGACATTCAAAGGCATCAAAATTCACCCATCACCATTCATTGACACTGGATGGTGCTGTAGGAGATGAGTGTGTCACTTATATGCTTGTGTCTGTTTTCACTATCAGCTCTGCTATGAATACCTTTACCCTACTTCTGTTCTTAGAAACCCCACTCCACTGTCAGGGTCCACCTCAAACCAACCCCCGTCCACAGTCTTCCCCACCATCCCACACTACCCATTGGATTAACTGTTCCTCTTGGCCTCGTGTGTCATGCTATCTTTCATCAGAGTTGTGCCAAATCTACCTCCCTCACTAGACCTAAGGTGAGATGGTGACTTACTCATCTTTGTAGTCCATTTGCATCTTTTGTGATGACAGAATCAATGATGGACAGACCAGTAATTAAAACACACACACACACACACACACACACACACACAGAAAATGTCCAATACCCTTTAATATATACAAGACCTGGCTGAAATTCAATCTGTGCATCAGTATAGCATGATTAGTTCCACTTTTAGCTTTAACTTAGCAGCGGAAAATAAGCTGTAAATGCTGAAAGACAAATCTCCATTTCTATTCTCTGCTTCCCAAACCTCAAATTGAGAACAAGAACAATCACACAAAGATAATGATAAAATAGGTGAAGGTCTAGAAAGAATCGTTACCTTCTGTCCCAAGAATTCATCCCCAAGTCATCGAGCAACAACCTGCAGAAATAAAAGGGTCCTCGTGGCTCCACTGGTGAGGGCTGCTCCTGGCTGGTGACTTTCATGGCTGAGTCAGAGTTACACCTCTGGATGTAGTCATCTTCTTGGGCGTTCTGGCGCAAAATGACCTCGATGATTTCCTTCTCTTGGTCACGGGTCATTCCTCGTGGGGGTGGGGAAGGCTCATTTAGATTTAGCTGTGATGGTAGAAGGCATTCGGGACTCGTGTGGCCAATGTTTTCAAGTAATTTGTCAAGCACATCTTCTCCCTCCTCAGTTTGAGAAAAATCTTTCTGAGCTCCCAAAGCTTGAGGATGCCAGCCGGAAATCAGAAATGCAGGATTTCTGCTGCTGGATGCTAAGCAGCCTTCCAAAGGTCCGTATAAAACCTTTCCATCCCAAGAGTACTTCCCTGAGATATCCCGCACAATTACTCTGACATCGGACAAGGCGCCCCCCGGCGAGCCACTTGCTGGCCCTTCTGCGGGTGTCTGAAGGTAGGAGATGAGGGTGCTGTCATTCAGCACAAAGAGCTGCAGGTTTGGGCTCCGGAACACCTCAGAGGACAGCTCGGGAGCCTCGGCGTGTACATTGTCATGGTTCTCACTGACCAGACTGTGCAGCACGGCAGGACCCCCACGGAGTGGGAAGTGCCCCAGGTGGTTCACCAGGTGGGCCATCACCATGCGGGCGGTCAGAGGGATCAACTCCAAACTCCTCCTCTTCCGCTCTGTGAGCAGGGTAAAGCAACATACCAGACAGTGGGGAAGGAAGGTTAAAATCTGTACTCGGGATACTGGATTTGTTTTAGTCTGGTAATTTTTTTCATCTATTTTCTTTTTTGACACTAATTCTATTTTAATTAAAAGTACAATTTAAATAGATTGCTAAAACAACCAACTTCCACGAAGATCTCATTCTGAAAGGGACACTTAAAAACATGTAGATGTAGGGGCACCTGGGTGGCTCAGTCGGTTAAGCATCCGACTTCAGCTCAGGTCACGATCTCACGGTCCGTGAGGTCGAGCCCCGCGTCGGGCTCTGGGCTGATGGCTCAGAGCCTGGAGCCTGCTTCCAATTCTGTGTGTCTCTCTCTCTCTGCCCCTCCCCCATTCATGCTCTGTCTCTCTCTGTCTCAAAAATAAATAAAAGTTAAAAAAAAATTAAAAAAAAATGTAGATGTAACAGGAAACAAAAGAGAAAGTTCCTTGTCCTGAAAGATCCTATGGTTCTGGGTCCAGGCCCCAGAAATTAACCTCATTCCCCTCACCAGGGTAAGTGCAGACGCTGATAAGGAAATGAATCAAGTCTCTGACGTCTTAGATGGATTTGAAGCACTGTGCTTTAAGATCTCTGTGACAACTTATGTTTTGTTATTCGGGTATTTGAAATCTTTAATGGAATCGGATATATTAACTAACTCATGGAAATACTTGGAAGGTTTAAGTAAATTTGCAGTTGATGATTAAATGCCCAGGAGCAAGTGACTTACAAAATTTTTAAGGCTGTGTAGAAAGACTGACACAGCATGTAAAGATGTGCCCTGTGAAATGTTGGAGGTGGAAGGAAGAAGCAGAGAACCTGATCTATGGTCTTGGAGTGAAGCAAGTACTTAAGCCTCAGAGTGGTCAGGGAAATTGTACGCTGCCACATTTAGAAAATAACTGTGTATTAATGCAAGCACAGGTGAAAATGAAATCTTTTAATTTCAACAAAAAATATCACTAGATATTTAAGCAAAGTAAGACTTATACTTTTGGCTTAAAGGTTTAGGAAATACTTGGTTTCTAAATTCACAAAATGAAAAATCAAATATTAATTAAAATAATTATAAATATGCTTTCTCGTGCTAAATACCTCCCCTCTCAGACAGTAAAAATTCAACAGACTTATCTATAAAACATCAAGTGGATGATGTATAAATCCCAGAAATATACAATCAAATTCTAGAATATAAGAAATTCTGTGTGATGACTGAGGAGAACAAGATTGTCCTGACTTTTCTTGAATTTCTTCTTAATTTTTGCTATTCAATGAACAAGAAATCATCTGTCTTCAATGCAAAATAAAACTTCACATAAAAACTTCAGTGTTCATAAATAAAGGTCATCTACATCCATCTCTGACACTGAACTCTCCTTCTTGACACTCGTAGAAGAGTGTATGATTTCCAGACAACTGAGAAATTTAAACACCTCAACTAATTCCCTTGAAATCACAGTTATGAATGCTTTTGCTTTTGTGTCCATATTAACTTTTTCAAAAGTTACAGATGCTTTTTATTCATGCTTATCATTCCATATGAATATATGCTCCATCAGAAATGTTAATGCCCCAAACAACAAAGGTAGGGCCAGCTGGGGGCTCAGGAGTCCGTGGTGTAAGACACTACATGGTGATGACAGGATGGAGCAGGCTCTGGAACTAGCGACAAAGGTCCAATTTGGTAAAGCCCAAAGCACACAACAACTGGAAAAGCAACTTTCCTCTGCTTCCTCTTATAAAGGTCGTGCTTTCAATTTGAGATAGATACAAATTTGTATTTTAATAAATGTGTTTGAATTCTACAGTGGGAAGTTAACTGGAGTCACACCAATCAACTCATAAACCACGACACACCCAGTAAAAAAAAAACAAGTATCTTTGGCACTGAAGAGTAAGGAAAGGGAACATTTGTGAAATATAAATTGTTCTTCCCTGGGCAACTTCAGCTAAATTAACTGCCTGTGAGTTCCCTGGAAAATAAAGAGAAAATCTAGACTCCATTTGTGAAAAAGCAATCTTGTAACTTCCACAAATAATTAAAAAAATATAATCCGGGACATGCTCAGTTGGTTAAGTGTTTGACTCTTGATCTCAGCTCAGGTCATGATCTCATGGTTTGTAAGTTTGAGTCTCAAGTTGGGCTCTGTGCTGGCAGCATGGGACCTGCTTGGGATTCTCTCTCTCCCTTTCTCTCTGCCCCACCCCCACTCACACTCTTACTCAAAACTAAGTAAATAAACATTAAAAAAATATAATCCAAATATTTATCTTATTTTGCTAAATTTAGAAATGAAATAGAAAAGCAGTAATTTCAGTATGTCTTTTAAGTTTCATTTTTTACAGTTCCCTCCTTTCCTTCTTTTTAAAGCAATTAGGCATTAATAATGAGAAATTTGAGCACCTGTGAGTACCATCAGTGTCTTTTCCTCGATCTGGGCCAGTAGCCACTTCAACTGTGGGGAAACAGATGTGTCTTTTGTCTGTGACTATTTGAAAGTAGTATTTATGTCAAATAGTAGATAACAGTGGGTGAAAGGGTCATTTGAAAACAATAAATAAAAATATAATATTGCATCTCAGAAACATGGGATAATAAATAGCTTGGTTATGAATGACGAATTATGACGTCGAATGAAAAAAAAACTCAAATATGAGCACATTTCTGTTACCTAAAATACTTCAGGTGTCCTCTTTAATTGTTCTCCCATTTCATAGAGGATGTACTTACTCAGCAAGGGTGTGTGTGCCAACAGGTTTTTAAGCTGCTTTGCTTTTGTATGTTATTAAACTGTTGGTGAATTTTCAAACTCCTTTGCCACCGAAATTCAAATAATTATTTTTAGCACCACAGAACTAGGGTAGGACAAGACTGCACAAGGTCCTAAGGTTTTCTGGAGAATACTCAAGTCAGAGTGTTGTACATCAAAAGAAAGGCAGTACAGAAAATTTAAATGTGCATTTTTAGGTTTCTTGTTTTTCACTAACCAATCAGTCTCCGACTATTTTCAAGAGACAGATCATAATATGTGCTGAACTTATTTTAAGGACAGTCATGTGGGATGAGACTATAATTAATGGCTTTAGGAAAAAGTAAGTTCTTTTTCTTCTAAGACATAGACTGCATGGTAGGAACCAATAAAAAAAAAAACAGATCATGGGTCATTTTGATTTTTTTTTTTTAAGATATGGTTTGAATTTCTAACCATAGGGAAAAAAAATCAAGAAATATTGCAGTTTAAAAAAACTGTGGAAGTCCAGAAAAAGACAACTAAATGATTATGCAAATGGAGGTAAACAATAGTGTGAACATGTGCCGTGTACTGTCCACCAGCACAACTAAATGTAAGTCTTTACTCTGTGGAAAAATCTCAGTTAAATGCTGTGCTATTTCAGAAACCTGATCATTAAATCTTCAATTCAAATTTCACCTCCATTACTTCTGGCTTCTATACCCTTGGGAAAATCCCTCACCTCAGTGTGCTCATTTATAAAATCAGGACTGACTGATTCCAGAGCCCTTGCCCATGACTGGTACCCTCACTTCTGTTCTCTTCCTTGTCACCTTGCTTGTGCCCTTCTCCTTGACCTGAACCATACTCCAGATTCTGCAGTCTTGCAAGCACTACCCTGGACTCCATGCTCTCACCTGGCTACTATTCTTCCTTTGTCCACCAAAGGCTCCAACAGGAATGTCTGCGGGTTCTGAATAGACATCCCCAAATCACCTGCTCCGGCTATCTGGCTACAGACTAACTGCCATGCCCAAAGTACTCAGCAAAACCCACCACCCAGTGCTTAGTTGGGAAATAAAACAGCTCCTGTTCTGGCCCCACCCTCCCTGATGTTTCTGAAGCATGGGGCATTGCTGACCTTCCTTGGCTCTTTATTCCCTTTCTTCCCTCAGAAGTGAATTCTTCACTTCTCAGACTCTTTCATGGTTCTTTCTCCATTTCCCTGACTGCTTTCCTGGTGACATTCCCTCATTCCTTTTTCTTTAAGGATGTTTTTACCCCCAAAGTTCATTCTTGGGCCTAGGTTTTAACTTGCAAAGTCCATACCATTTTCATGGATGATCTAACACTCCACGCCCACATTTTTTTTTTTAACTTTTAACTTTGAGACAATTAAAGACTGACATACATTTATAAGAAATAATACAGAGAGATCCAAAATATCCTTCATCCCCCTGGTAATATCTTACATAGCATAGCTATAGGACAGTATCACAATTTGGAAATTTTGACATTGATACACTTCATTAATATTCAGAGTCTACTCAGTGTACATGCCCTTGTGTGTGTGTATGTTTGGTTCTATGCAATTATTTCACATGTACAGATGATACACCCACATTCTAACTACATTTCAAGGCCCGGAGATAGGCTCTTGTCATTTCAGGAAGAAGCATGGATGAGGAGGACATACAGCATTCCCTAATCCTGACAATACCCACATATCCTAAAACAGACCCTCTGGGGGTGCCTGGCTGGCTCGGCTGGCAGAGCGTGCGACTCTTGGTCTCAGGGTTGTGAGTCCAAGCCCCATGTTGGGTGTACAGGTAACTTAAAAACAAAATATAAAATAAAATAAAATAAAATAAAATAAAATAAAATAAAATAGACCCCCTGCCACGAGCAGAGCCTCAAACTGTGGCATGTAAATCCCCACCTCTCTCTTTCAATGCTCTCCTAGTCTATAACACTCGACCAGATCCTTTCAAAGTCTGTTCATCCTCCTAAGTCTGGCTTAAGTCCTTCCCCATGGGAAGTCCCCATGGTGCTACTGATCCACAAATGAGTCCTTCTGCATTTATCCTGTCTCTCTAGTTACATGTTAAGTTCCCTGGGGATAGAAAATGAGCTGTTTTTGTGGGTCTCATAGGTCTGACACAGGTCCTCAATACAAAATTCAACTAAGATGGGAAAAGAGACAGAGAAGAAACAGAAAAAAAGAAACAAGGAAAGCAGAATTTGCTATCACATAGGGGTCTAGAAACCAGAATTTTAATAACTAGATTTTAAAAAACAATGCAGCAAGCATGGGCAAAAGATTACAATCTTTCCTTTTCCTGCCCATGAGAATTAATGTTCTGAAGAATCTCACCCTCTTCCACTGTGAGCAGGTTGCCCAAATCTGCTGATGAATGATATTGGACTGGCTCCGAATTCTTCACATTTGCCAGTGGCAGGAAGGGGTCATAATCCGGGGATGACAGGTCGGCCAGGGTCAGTGTGTAGTGACTCTGTTGAGTATATGTGCTTGAGCCACACACACAGCAGTGCAGAACCTGTAAAAAGCAATGTGTGCCATGGATGCCATGAACATCCTGTCCCTGACAATCTGCCAACAGCACTTTGAGGAGGTAGGACTCTCGCTTGGTAATATCTGAGAACATAGAATCCTTTCCATTCTAAATTATCTTCCTGCTATTTGCAAGGTTATTTTTCTCCTTTTATATCAACACCAATAAATATATTTTCAACACAAAAGGAAAGCAAAAGTTAGAAAGTGCTTATTTTGCCATTCTGGGTGATCGCACACACCCAAGTCCTGCTTCTGTCCACCAGAATGTTCACAGACCTTCTTTTTCCAGTTCCAAACTCTACTACCCAAATGTCCAAATAGATATCTAAATCATGGCGTACTCTTACTGTGTAATACTAAAGAGTGATGAGTGAAAAACTCACAACTATTCACAACCGTATGAATGAATGAACCCCTTGAAAATAATGTTGAGTGAAGGGCATCAGACACAGAAGCACATACTGCATAAATCCAGCTACACAAAGTTCAAAACAATCTACACCGTTACACAGGTTAGTTGCTGCCCAGGTATGTGTATGGGGATAGTAATCAGCAGGGAGCCAGCATGGGTCCTTCTGTAATGCTGAGACTATTCAGTTTCTGCAGCCAGGATCTGGTTTCACAGGTGTGCTTGCTTTGTGAAAATTCATCAAGCTCTCACTTATGACTGGATGCATATTATACTTCAATAAAAAGTTTCCTTTACAGATAAAATCACGTTGTTCAATAAATTTGTGACTCATGTTAACTAGGAGGGGACATTTTTATTGGTAAAACAATTTTAAGAGAAATCTTTTAAGAAAAGAAATGTTAGAAAAGAGACAAATTTAAATGACTGTGGCTACTCTAGGTTGTCAAGCCAAGCCTTACATAGGTTTATAAACCACAGAAATGACAGAGTATCTAATGAATTAAAATCTTTGAATGAATTAAAAATAACATAGTTATTAAAATCTCTGACCACTAAAAAACCATTTAAAAGTACACAATACTTTTTAGTAGAATTTCAACTATGTTTTATATTTAATACATTTCAAAATAAGGCAACACAGTAATCAGTTAATGACTTGGAATATTATTTTTTTAAAGGTTACTAGTAAAGGTTTCTTACTAAAACAATTAAAAACAGGGGCACCTCAGTGGCTCAATTGGTTAAGCGTCCGAGTCTGGATTTCAGCTCCGATCATGGTCTCACAGTTCGTGGGTTTGATTTCCACACAGGGCTCTGTGGTGACACTGTGGAACCTGCTTGAGATTCTCTCTCTCTCCTGCCTTTTCTGCCCCTCCCTGCCCCCCCTCAAAATAAATAGATGAAATTAAAAAAAAAAAAAAACAACAGAATTGTCCCTGAGTACTAATTATTCAATTGATACACAAATGCCAAATTCATAAATAAAGCTTTCACAGGACAGACTGTAAAGCCAATATAGAAGGGCGATATAAAGGATCCAGAGCAAACACCATACCCAGTCATCAGTAGAGGTTGAAATTTGAATATTTTAAGTACCATAAAAATGATGAAGCTAAAAACTTTGATGTGATATATTTCCTTAATTAGTGTATTTCTTAAGATCTTGTAAAGCAAAGGGATTACTGAGACCTTTATACTTTTTGATAAACAATTGATAAAACAATTTTGTCAAACTAAGAATGTCAATATCCCTAAAATATAAACACTTCTTTTAAAAATTAAGTAGAGATAGGCCATGTTACATGAAAATTGGGGATTCTGATCAAACTGCAGTTGTTAAAAGATGGCAGTCATGTGAAAATGCATGTTTCTTTCACTTGGTAACCACTGCTTCTCTACAATTACTTCTGACCTGTTTTCACTCCTTAAATTATTCATTTCTTTTAAAATGTTTCACCTCTCCCCATATCTTTTCCAAAAGGGCACAAATAAATAAATAAATGCACAGACATATTTGGGCGATTCTCTGATGCTTAAGTCTATACTCTATGTCCATGAGGCACAAATGGAGACTCACCCTATAGATATAATCCAGCAAAGGGGCTCTGCACGAGTGCTGCTCCTCCAGGGCTACTGTGGACACTGGGTGGAGAAGGGTGTTCACTGGCAACGCCATGCACCAGTCCAAGAGGCAGAGTAGCAAGGATACAATAAACTGGAAGAGGAAACAGGCCCAATACTGTACATTGCAGTCTTTTAAACTTCACTACATGTCACAGCAAACAACAGAACTGTCCCTGCATGATAGTAATTACTCAGTGGACACACAAATACAGAAGAAATGAATGAGTAAATAAAGTTTTCACAGGGGAGACAGGACCAATACAAAAGAATAATAAAGGATATCCCTGCGTGTAACATTATTTTTCATTTTATCTTACATTAAAAAAAAAAAAAACAGACTGGGGAAAACTTAGCTGATGTGCCACCTACCTTCTTATCTGTTTCCACTGAGGAGTACTCTGCACTTGGTAAAAGAAAAGCAATTGTGGCCACAAGGATCTGCATAAAAGACAAACCTCTAATCAAACAGACCATAGTAATAGTTTAGGAAACCATATGATAAGAGTCTCAAGATGGCCTTGCACTAAACCCAGCTTGGTGCCAGTTCACTTGAGGAAGCTGATAAGAAGCCAAGAGCCAGTTTAGAGCTCTGTGTGATCCTGAAAATCGGGAGAAAGTCATAGAGCCATGCCTCGTCTCTATTCCACTCTCCTGGTGGTGAAATTGGGGCCCCAGAGGAAGGGACATTTCTCTTTGAGGTCACACAATCCCCATCTTCAGTCTCCGCACTTAATGCAATGAAAGTAAAAAAAAATATTTTCAAAAATAACTATGAAAATGCTCCCATTTGATTTTCTTATAAACCACCCCAGGTCTCCACCTGTTATCCTGGTATAAAAGCACCCCTTTCCTTCTCAAAGCTATTCCTCTTTCAATGATAAACTACAATCGACTCTTGAACAACTCAGCGTGAGAGGTGCTAACCCCCTGACCTTGCACAGGAAGAAATCCATGTATAACTTTTGTCTCCCCCCCCAAATTTAACTACTAATAGCCTACTACTGGCCAGAAGCCTCAACAATAATATAAATCGTTGATTAACACATATTTTGTATGTTGTATGTATTTTATGTTGTATAAAATATTTTAAAAAATATTAAAAATATTAAAAAAACAGACAGAAAAAAATATTAAAAAAATCATAAGGATGAGAAAATACATATATGGTGTACTATATTTATCAGAAAAAATCCACATATCGATACATGCAGTTCAAACCCATGTTGTTCAAAGGTCAACTGTGTACAGTTGCCCTAAAACCCAACTTTATAACTTGCGGCATCTTCTATCCCTATGTCCAAACCTCTGTTCTGCCCTAGGTCACCTAAGCTCTTGGGGAGAACAGAGTGATCTCGCTGGTGAAATCTGTCTAGGGCCGAGAGGAAATAAATCAGTATCACTTCTTCTCTCCCCCTGTAATACCACGCAGAGACAAATCACATTTCCTTGAAGAGTTACCACTGGATGCGCAAAGAACAGGGCACGTTTAAAAAAGTGTAGTTTTAGGGGTGCCTGGGTGGCTCAGTTGGCTGAGCATCTGATTCTTGGTTTCGGCTTAGCTGACAGCCTGGAGACTGCTTGGGATTCTCTCTCTCCTCTCTCTGCCCCTCCCCTGCTCATTCTCTCTCTCTCTTCCTCTCTCTCTAAAAACAAACAAACTTTAAAATAAAATAAGAAGTGTAGCTTTAAAAACTAGCAGGAATGGATGGGCCTTATATTCAGGTACGTACAGAGGTGAGGGTACCTGCTCCTTTACAACTAAGCACCCTCAAATGCAACCAGCCTCCGGGATATCATCACTGGGATGATTCTTCCCGTTCCTTCTATCTTTCTCTCCCACCAATTACCACCGGCCCCCCCCCCCCCCCAAGAGGGTATTACAGCAGTAATCTCATTACAGCTGGGTAATCATGCTATGGCAGAGAGCATGATCTGGGGCTTCAGTCTAGGAGAGACTCCTGTTTCACTCAACAGTCCCCCCACCCCCCGCCCCTGCATGGAGGGCATCATAACCAGCTGCCTACTCCTTGTTGGCACCATCCAAATTACTCTCGATGAATGAAGCCCAATCTACAAAAGGTCTCTTTGTTGTGGTCGTGTCTGCCTTTCAAACTCCCCAAGTGTAAAACTCTGCCCTGGAACACTGGTGGCTTCTTTACGTAGTGCCTGAAATCACAGCTGAGAAGAGCCGGTGCAATTTAATCTGAAAATGAATGACCCGTATGGCAATTTAATAGTCAGTACTCTAACAATTATTTGAGTATCTGTAATTAATTAAACACCAAATACAATAACTGGGAAACGCTTACGTGTTAGCATTACAGGACAAAGACTTACTTCTGAAATTTTCCGAGGCAGAGAGGTTTCAAACATCTGAAGCTTTTCCCAGTAGGAAACCAGCAACTGAAGAACATCACAGGCCACCTGAGCCACGACTTTGTTAGGAAACTGTAACAGGAAACAGAACCCCAAACTAAAGGACTGAACTTAACATGTGCATTTGTCCTAAGGAAGAACAAAACATGTATTTCTTTCCAGCGATGTTTAGGATACATTTCCTTGTTACGCATTAAATTTTTGAAAAATGTGTCCTGGTCCCACATTGCACTTGTACCATCCTATAACTGCCTCTTGTCCACATGTATTAATTTCCTTAACATTCTATAGAAACAAAGAGCTGTTGTTCAGTCATCTGAAAATTAAAACCATAATTTCAAGTGCCTCATTCAGATTGCATAAATAATAGTTTTGACAATTGGAGGAAATTAAAAGGTAGTACATTACTGAGTATTCCCTGTGTGCTGGTCCTTTTAGAATTCTCCTCATTTTCGCATTGATATATCTTCATTAACAGCTCTGCAAGGTAGATATGATCTTCATTTTATAGAAACATGAAGTGATCAAGTGATTTCCCACCTTATAAAATTAAACTTCACCCACATGTGTAATGAACTAAGAAATGTGAAAATTTGGGAACTGTGAGAATATAATCCTATGTTATGGTGTATTTATTCAATTACTTTGAGTGTGTTTTTGGAGTCTGGTGTGTGTACAAGGACCTTTGGATGCTCCCATTTCTTCCTAGATGGCATGTCAAAGGGGAGGGACGGTACTCACAAAGACCATTGGGCTGGATGGATGTAACAGATGAAAGACACCCTGTGCCTCTCTCCCTGCCCAGAACCTGGGGCTACCCAAGCCAAAAGGTTTGTCGCTGATTTTGGGTGTCTAAGGAAACCCCTGGATATGTAGCTTAGTTATTTCCACACCAGGAGCTCCAAGTCACATAAAGCAGGTACCAATTGACCTCAGCACCACACAGACATGGAAAAGTCAACATTTAGCAGCTCAGTGCAAATGTACAGGACGAGGAAGAAGGTAAGGCAAAGGGGATTACTTTGAACTCTGTAGAATAAACACTTTCCAAATACTCCTTCCTGATAGGTGCAAAGTGCACCCAGAGCAAGAGCGTCTGCCCTCAAGGGGCTCTCAGAGCCTGGCCTCTAGGCCTCAGATGACCTGATGCTCACGAGCCTCTTTCAACCCTGCAAACACTCTGGCTTGCTTCTGTCCCAAGGCCTTTGCCCTTACTCCCTGCTTTGCCTGGGATGCTGGCTTCTGCCACATCTCTCAGATCATGGCACTAAAGGCCTCCTCCGTGAGGCCACCTTGCCCATCCCAAGGAGTGGCAGTCTATCTGCTCCAGCTCTTCAGCTCCATCCTGCTTCGCTCTCGTGCTTTCCTCACGGCATTAAGGCTATCAAGCCCATCTTCTGTATTTGTCTGCCTGTTCTTTTGTGTTTATTTTTCCACATCTTGTTTACCATTATGTTCCTAATGCCTTGCACACCCCCCCGGAGAAGTAACGCATGACGAGTCTAAGGTGAAGAACAGGAATAGCCACTGGATGTGTTTCCACTGCATCACAGGGGTCAGGTCGTGGGGTGGAAACATAAGGCTGGCATGGCTCTTACATCTAACTGGAAGCTGGGAGCAGACAAGAGGACAACAAGGAAATGAGAGCTATGGTAGACCAGACAAAGAGCCTCTGGGCAGAGGGATGAGGTGTAAGAGAGGGGGCAGGTGGTAGAGAGAATGGGGGAAGGGTGGAAGGAGAGCTGAGGTTAGGCCAGGAGAAGGCAGAGGGAGAGTGTTTCCTTCAAGGCAGCAGGTGGTAGGGCACTGCGGAAGGCAAGGTCAGGCTGGAGGGCTGCAGGTGGGATGCTATTACTGACACGTGAATGCTGTGGGCGGTGGTGGGGAGAGACAAATCACTCACTCACTCACTCATTCAGCACATATTCATGGAGTAATGACAATGTGCCAACACTGAGGGTGACACGTGGTAGCTACACTTGTGAGGAGCACAGCAGGAAGGATAGGTTGTTGAATCGCTGTGTTGTACACCTGAAACTAACATCACACTGTGTGTCAACTATACTGCTTCACTGCTCAACACTGCACTCTGCTCCAACATGCCAGCATCTTCCTGCTCTTAGGATATATACCAACTCGTTTCTACCCCAGGGCCTTTGTACTGGGAGCTCCTTCTGCCCAGAGTGCCCCTTCCCTACACACTGCTCAGCTTCTTCTCATTACTGCTTTCCCCACTCACATGCCTTCACCTTTTCCTTTTACAGAGCATCTCTTGCTCTCAGTCCTCTCTATGGTGCACATGTGTGGTTGCTTGGCCAGTATCAATTCCTCCCTCACTCCTTAACTAATAGATCTATTTTGAGGTGCCTTCCCTCTCCCATGCAGGCCATCTCTCCCAGCTCCAGGAATGTGCCCTAACAGGCTTAAACGAATCAGAAGATTTTATTCCCAGTCTCAGTCGCTGGTACAGGGATGAGCGAGAAACCTCGACTAATGCATCTCAGTACCTCTTACGAGAATGCTGTGATGGAAGTCCTGCAGAACACAAACAAGGACACATGGGACCCTGACTCCTACTGGCAGACATCCTCCAACCCTGCAGGCATCCCACCCTAACATGAAGCCACCTCTGTGGACTACAGAGCAGTAGAGTTAGACAATTAGGTCAGTGTTGACTGTTAATCTCCTGAATCAACCAACCCTGACCTCTTCCTTACCCATGTATTTTCCAGCTTTATGAATCAATATGTTCCCATGTTGTTTAAGCCAGAAAAAGAAAGAAAGAAAGAAAAGTACAGGGCACAAGATGAACCGGGCAGATACAGTCTCTACTCTGAAGGACTAACAGTCTTGGGAACAGGCAGGGACCTGTTCACATATGTCCCTGAACGCCGTGCATAGTGCTCTAGTCTGTGGGCTACTTGGTCAGACCCTGTGCAGACAGATTCCTCCTGTGGTAGGAGGGAGGACAGCTCTGTGGGGCCAGACTAGGGCCAAGGAGTTGGAAGGCACCAGGAGGCTCAGTTATTGGCAGGGGGAGACAGGATGGGTAGGGATGGCCCTAGGGCAGCAGGACTCTAGGACTGAAGTAAGGAGGGCGGGGAAAGTCAATGATGTCTCCTGAGATAGGGTAAGAGAAGGAACAACAGGTGAGGCTGAGGGTGGGGCTCGGGTTGGGCCTCCTCTCACTTGGGCTGCCAAGGAGACAGGATTGGCAGCTCACCTGAGCCGGAGCCGAAGCTGCCACTCTAGTGCCTTCGGCCCCCACCTTGGAGGGGACACCTAGGTCTGTGACTACAGCTCAGGCTTAGAACCCTCCGCCCCCACCCACACACTCCCACACCAGACACAACTAGCTGAGTAGAATTCTCCAGGCGGCTAGGCAGTGCTCTGCTCTCACTGTTTTTCATGGATACCTTCTAGGGAGCATTTCCCAGCCTTCTCTGACCATGCCCTTCCTGCATCTGAGGGAACACCTGGATCAGCCTCATCAAGTGTTCCTGAAGGGCAGGGTCACAGCAGAGTGGTGCCCAGAGCCATGTGGAACCCATAAGACAGGAAGCCCTTTCTGGCCTCATGCACCCTGTGCCGCTGGGGCTGGGCCTCTTTCTCTAGTCCGCCAGATGCTCCCCCTCCTAGTAGAGCCCTGAGCCTTCCTGGGGCCCCTCTTCTTAAGAGTTGTTGCCGTCCCCCTTGCTCCCCGTGGCAACTCCTTTCCTGATAGCTCTCGGTTCTCTTAGATTCATGTGCTCCCTCCTTCAGTGAAAGTGCCACTGGCACAGGAACACAGGCTTAGGAGGGAGGCAGGCAGGGAGTTGTCCCAGCGTCCGGGAACTGCATCCATGAGTTTCCCTCTGCTATTCACACTGGTTAAAGGAAGGTTGATATGGCTGATCTCGGCCCTCTGATTTCTTAGCAATTCAAGCTGGAGCAAGGTCCTTGGCCTTCTTTAGCTGTGCTCTCTTTTATTGCCAAAATGGGGGGATCAGGAGCATCCTGGGGTACAGGCTTCAACGGAACAGCCCCCACACTGTGGTGGGATGTCCCTGATAGAGCACGGCTCCAAGCATGGCAGCTACGTTTTTTCTGGTACTCTATGTTTTCCTCATAATTGTACAAAAACTATAGAGATTTTTGAAAATGTGGAGAACTACAACAGGAAAACGTAAGTCATATATCCTTCTACTCTTGTTATCTATACTGCATAGAACCACATAGGGTAGATTTATCTACAGATCTCCTTCACTCTGAGACACCACTGAATTATTAACAGCTTTTCCAGGAAGGGAGTAGGGGTGGGGAAGCCACAGCACATGCAATATACCTTTCTAGATTTAGGAAAAAAAAAACTAGGATTGGAAAAATAGATCTTAGAATTGAGAAAATAGGATATTAAAAAACGAATTACACTCTGCATAGATATACAATTGATATCCAACTTTTTTTCACTGTAATAGTTATATGTGAATATTTCACCATGGCTTTTGGAGTGTCTTATACACTGCAATTAGGGAAAAGCCCAGACATGGGGACAGGGTGTCCTGGGTTTGACCCTGGCAGACTCTCTATTTCCCAATCAGCTCATTTTCCACATCTGTGATGCAGAGGTGGCAGTAAGCCTTCACACAGAGGGTGGTTTTAAGGATTAAAAGGAACAACAAAGGTCAGCACCCTGCTCAGGCCAGAGGGAGGCCTCCTAAGTGATATTTTGGTTTGATCAATTTTCCATTCCTCATCACAGGGATCAGCAGCAAGTGTTTCTCCAGCTCTCCGGATCTGACTGGCACTCCCAGGTGTTGTGGAGGAGAGAATGGGGGATGGGATGCACAGGTGGGAGGGGGTCAGAGGACATAAGACTTGGTCAGGAAGGGGAGTAGGTGAGGAGCACTGCCATGAAATCAGGCTGCAAAGACAGGCAGGGGCTAGACCAGAGGGCCGGATGCCAAGCCATGGGCAGGGGATGTCCCTGGCTGGTTATCCTGTGGGCTGAAGCACGAAGGTGACACAGCTCTATCACTGGCCTGGTGATGACTGTCCCAGTGTCAGCTACAATGGTTGTTACTATTACAGCAACACATGACAGGCAGTAGAGAAGGGCGGGCATGAGCCTGGACGCTGGTATCAGATGCACAGTTTAGGGTCTGAACTTTGGCTTGACCAGGATTCAGAGCCTGGAAAGAGCTCCTTGACCTTCCTGCACCTCAGCTTCTCCACTGTAAAGTGGGACAAGTGCCTAGCAGCTGAGAACTTCCACAAACCCTCAGTACAGTGCCTGGCAGGGACTAGACACTCACCAGTTCTGGGGGGTATAATAACAGCAGTGCTAATTATTACCACCATCTCTAAACAGGAGCCAGAAAGGGACCTGGCAGGTTTTGAGCCCTGGTTTAGGAAGTGGCCTAACAGTATGTATAAAAGTTCAGTTTTGTTTTCACGTTACACAGATCTGCTCTCAGTGCTGCTTCCATCCTTTATACCTGTGTGCCTGTGTGCTTAGGACTGGATTTCTCTGGGCCTTGCTTTCCTCTGGTGGGACATGGTGATTGTACCATCTACCTTGCAGAGCTGTCTGAAGTATTGACTTTGCAATGAATGTGGGCCAGCATGTGAACCCAGTCAATGGCAAAACAAAAACAAAAAAACAAAAAACAAACAAACACAAAAAACCCCAAAAAACACTCCCTCTTTTCATTAACAAAGCAAAGGAAGAAAGACATCCTAAAAGCGTGAAGGCCCAGTCAGGTGGCGAGTACTCAGGTCTCTCCCAGCCCCACTGCAGAGGCCAGGGCATGAAATCGCACTTTCTTGTCACTATTACCAATTGTCACTTGCCACAGGAAGTGCCCAGCCCACAGAGGAGCCCCACTCAGGCAAAGGGGTCAGTCCAGGACAGCTCAGCCACCAGTGGGGAAGCAGCTATTGGTGGCCTCTTTTGTGAGCCTCACAGAACATTCAGCATGGCTCTCATAAAAACAATTTTTGATTTAAAACCCCTCTCTGATATAGGGAAAAAATAGTGATGGCGCTAATTCAAACTAGAACTGGTTGAATATCTGGGATACAGATTACTGTCAAATACACATCACGAATTGGGAATACCTTCAAAGTGACACCTATCACATTGATGGCCTCTTTCAGCTGAGGATGGCTCGTACACTGGGCAAGCTCTTCGCATATCCAGACCCCGAGGGAGCAAATGGCGATGCATCTTTTGGAAAAGAAAGAAAAGAGGAAAATTCTCAAAAAATTTAACATGTTTTCTTGGTATTTTCATGTGACAAAGTATTTTAAATCTTTTTTTTACAAAGTAGCAAAAATTACACATACACTAACAGAGTGTCTTCCTAAGAAAAAAAGGGTAAGGACAAATAGAAATACTGATATTGGTTAGTAATTATTTAATAAGTAAATGATATACTTCCCGTTAATAGTCACAGCCCATACATCAGTTATTTTTGCTGACATCTTCTTTAAATTTGAGAGAGAGAGAGAGAGAGAGAGAGAAAGCATACCCACGAGTGGAGGAGAGGGGCAGAGGAAGACAGAGAGTATCTTTTTTTTTTTTTAATATAATTTATTGTTAGGGGCGCCTGGGTGGCGCAGTCGGTTGAGCGTCCGACTTCAGCCAGGTCACGATCTCGCGGTCCGTGAGTTCGAGCCCCACGTCAGGCTCTGGGCTGATGGCTCAGAGCCTGGAGCCTGTTTCCAATTCTGTGTCTCCCTCTCTCTCTGCCCCTCCCCCGTTCATGCTCTGTCTCTCTCTGTCCCAAAATTAAATAAACGTTGAAAAAATATATATATATAATTTATTGTCAAATTGGCTAACATACAATGTGTAAAGTGTGCTCTTGGTTTTTGGGGTTGAGTCCTGTGGTTCATTGTTTGCATACAACACCCAGTGCTCATCCCAACAAGTGCCCTCCTCCATGCCCATCACCCATTTCCCCTCTCCCCCACCCCCATCCACCCTCAGTTTGTTCTCTGGACTTAAGAGTCTCTTGTGGTTTTCCTCCCTCCCTCTTTGTTTGTAACTATTTTTTCCCTTCCCCTCCCTGGTCTTCTGTTAAGTTTCTCAAGATCCACATATGAGTGAAAACATATGATATCTTTCTTTCTCTGACTGACTTATATAATACCTTCCGGCTCCATCCATGTTGCTGTAAATGGCAAGACTTCATTCTTTCTCATTGCCAAGTAGTACTCCGTTGTATATATAAACCACATCTTCTTTATCCACTCATCAGTTGATGGAAATTTAGGATCTTTCCATGATTTGGCTATGTTGAAAGTGCTGTTATAAACATTGGGGTACATGTGCCCCTATGAATCAGCACCCCTGTATCCTTTGGATAAATTCCTAGTAGTGCTATTGCTGGGTTGTAGGGTAGTTTTATTTTTAATTTTTTGAGGTACCTCCCCACTGTTTTCCAGAGCGGCTGCACCAGTTTGCATTCCCACCAACCCCGTTTCTCTGCATAGTCGCCAGCATCTGTTGTTTTCTGAGTTGTTCATTTTATTTTTGCTGACATTTTTAACTACACCGTATTGCTTCAAGATAGTTTTGACGAATAATCAAAGACATGAATCTCAGAAAATCATTGGAAATTGAGTTTGTAATTGTTTTCCCTACAATAAAATACACAACACCTACTACAAACAGAATACAAACCCTATATTTCATTGTAAAGAATATTTGAACACAACTTCCAGAATCAGCTGCACTGTTATGTTTTAAACAATAAGTGAGGACAAAGCTTTCTTCAAATTACACAGTCCTTTAAAAATTACCTTTCTCAATTGTAAATCATTTTTAAATGGTAGTTCTCTTTGGAACTGATATATTCCACTATCTTTTGCAATGATCAAAAAGTCATACTCCTGTTAATTTTTTCTGAATGCCCACATATAAAATTAAAATACTTGCTCCCAAACCTGCTCACTTTCAGAACAAAAGGGGGGTTCAAGTCCCTGCTTGGAACCAGAAGTTAACTGTAGGATGTATATGTTGTTCTTTGTAATAAGAGGTCACATCCAGTACCAATTAAACTGAATGTACTGCTCAGCTCTCCACAGTAAAAGTTCTTTGTATTCAGTATAATTCAGCAGTTAAAATAAATATATTTTGAGGTTTTAAAACCACCATATTTCACTGGAATCTCACCTCTTTAAATTAAGATAGACTAAGGGCTTCAGAACACGTTTATTAAAAGTCCTTTGGAGGCTATGTCACCTTCTACTTAAATGAACTCAGTATAAATGGGCAGCCCAGTTTATAGGTGTGCCTGGTCTTCTTTGGTTCTCTGACAACAGCATAATACATGAATTCCACACAATTTGAACCCTCAACTTCCCTCACTGTATAGAACTGTCTCCTCTTGCCTCATCCCTATGCTTATTCTCAGTCTAGAAACTGCACTTTGTATTCTTAGTTTGCGCTCTTTGCCATGTATTCTACATCTTTCAAATAGCCTTTTTATCTTCCCCCAGCTTAACTGATTATTTAACGCACTAAAATCTAACTTGGAATTATACCCCCAATCATATTTTTACCACTTCAAGAGCCTCTCTTCCTTTGCATGCTTGAGTGTGTGTGTGTGTGTGTGTATAAATACACATACTTTTTTTTTTTTTACAACCCATTAACCTTTATGTTAAGTGTAATTCATTCAGAGCAAAGATCTCTCATTTCTCAGGAACACCTGCATTACTCTATAACTATTAGCCCTGCATGACAGAGAACTTTTGTGACCCATAAAGTGGTTTCCTAATGTGAACCACTCTCACCTGCCTTGAGTTTTAAAGCCACCCTAGCTTATAGCTGCTCTTCAATGCTATTTTTTCTCTTTCCAACATATCATTTAGCATCCCCATCTAGCATCTTCCGATTCTAATACTCTGTTACCCCTTACGTGTTTGAGTTCCTGTCAGTTAGGTTCTCTGTATCCCAAATGTGTCCTTTGTGATCCCAAATGAGTTCTATCTCTCAAAACTTTTTTTTTTTAGCTAATGGCAATACCACCTTCACTCTCCTTTGTACACTAACGCACTTTCTGGAACTGTTTGCTACCATCCCATCTCACACCACCCAATTTACATAACTTACTCTTTTTTCTGAACTCTTCTACATTATCATCACTCACAATTATAACTATCTTCTCTCATGATTCTCCTCCATTTATTTGGAATCTTGATCATATTTCTGCTTATCTGCACTTGCATGAACTCAATTTCATTGTCTAACTCCTCTCATACTCAGCTAATAAAGACTGAGCATATCATACACATTCTATTCCATTTTTAACTCCACAGACATTTGGCTTTCTACAGTAAGGAAAAAGTGGGAGGGGAAGGTATTGCTAAGACATGTTAAAGGTTTGAATGTGGTGTATATGTGAAAAGGAGAAATCAAGGATTTTCCCCAAGTTTCTGTACTGAAAATCTGAGATGATGGTGCCCTTTACCAAGGGGGGAGTTTGAGGGGTGGTCAGGAGACTCAAGGATTCAACTGTGGTTGTGTTAACTTTGTATGTGTTAAGACATCCAAGTTGAGGTATCAAGTAGGCAGTTTAATATATAAGCCTGAATATATAAGGGGTTCACAGAAGAGGCCAGGTAAATAAATTCAGTGTCATTAGTGAGTAGGTGGAATTTAAAGTCTAGTTAGAATGAATAAGAGCACCTAGGAGCGTCATGGAGGGAGGAGAGGACCACCCCTAAACTTCGAGTCACCAACTTGCAGAAGTTAGGTGCAGGAGGGAGACAGAACAGGAGAAGCGTGGTAACATAGGAATAAAATAAGAAGGTTGTATTCTAAGGCCTGACATTGTTTAGGAAGAGGGTAAAGACAGCCTAATTTCAGAATTAGTAACACAAGTATGCATATTACAATTTCTTTTTTTTTAATGTTTATCTATTTTGAGAGAAAGAGAGTATGTGTGTGCTTGAGCATGGGAGGGACAGGGGTGGGGAAAGAGAGAGACAGAAAAAGAGAGAGAGAGGGAGGGAGGGAGAGGGAGAGAATCCTAAATGATGTGGGATTCAGCACAGAGCCCGATGTGGGGCTCAATCTCATGATCCTGGGATCATGACCTGAACAGAAATCAAGAGTCAGATGCTTAACTGACTGAGCCACCCAGGTGCCCCATTAAAATTTCTAAGGTAACTTTTAAGAAAACTGAAAGAGAGTCTATGACTCCTAAGAAATTAGAGAAAAAATGGAATGTGGGAAAAATCATCTGGAAGGGAGGAAGTTAGGAAGTTAGGAAGGAAGGAAGAAAGGAAGGAAAGGAGAAGGGAAGAATGAAGGTGAGAAAAGGGAGAAAATGAGAGAATACTGAGGACAAATAACAAAATATAAAGATGAAAGAAATACAAAGAATATAAAGATACAAAGAATATACAAAGAATATAGAGATGAAAGAAATCCAAATATGTCAGTAATTGCAGCAAATGTAAATGAACTAAAGATTCAGTTAAAAGATAAAAATCAGACAGTATAAATGTATAAAATATGTACAATTTTTGCAAAGACATTTAAAAGAGAAGAATATGGAAAAGTTAAATTTAAAAGGATAGAAAATATTGGGGTGCCTCAGTGGCTCAGTGGGTTAAGCGTCTGACTCTTGGTTTCAGCTCAGCTCACGATCTCACGGTTTATGAGTTCGAGCCCCACATAGGGCTCTGTGCTGACAGAGTGGAGCTTGTCTGAGATTCTGTCTCTCTCTCTCTCTGCCCCTCCCTTGCTTGCTCACTTGTATTTTCTCTCAAAAATAAATAAAAATTAAAAAAAAAATAAAAATAAAAGGATAGAAAATATCATTTAAAAATATCAATATCAGTATCAGATAAGTAGTCTTTAAGGTAGGGTCGCCCGGGTGGCTCAGTCAGTTGATTATCCAACTTCGGCTCAGGTCATGATCTTGAGGTTTCACAAGTTCAAGCCTCATGTTGGACTCTGCTGGCTGACAACTCAGAGTCTGGAGCCTGCATCGGACTCTCTCTCTCTGCCCCTCGCCTGCTCATACTCTGTCTCTCTCTCTCTCTCAAAAATAAATAAAAGAGATGGGATTCTATATAGAGATTTGATAATTCTATACTTCTATGCAGCTAATAATATAGCTTCAAAATATATAAAACAAAAATTGACAGATATATATGGGAAATAAACGTACCATAATAGTGGGATATCTTAACCCATCTTTCTCAGTTAATGATCAAGATGATGAAAAAATTAGAAAGGATTTAAAGTATTTGAAAGACATGATTAAAAAATTAATCAAATGGACACATCTAAAGCACTACACCCAACAACTGAAGAAATGGTATACACATTCTTTTCAACCATATACAGGACATGTGCAGAAAATGACTACATATTGAGCCATAGAGCAAATCTCAACAATTTCAAAGATTGTTGCTTGGCAGACAACATATTTAATCTACAATGCCTTTAAGACATCAGCAGCAAAAAGATAAATAAAAATAACCATGTGTTTAAAAATGAAGGAATATATTTCTAAATAAATCACGACTCAGTGAAGGAATCATAATGGAAACTGGAAAAAATTTCAGTGGAAAAATATTACATATCAAACGTAGAGAACTCAGATAAAGTGGCACTTAGAAATAAACATAGGGACTTAAATGTTGGTATCTGTAAAGGAGAAAGGCTGAATTAGTATACTGAATGAATATACTGGCATATATCAGAATTAATATACTGATGAAAAGAAAATGAGTGGCAGAATGTAAAGAGAGCAGAAGAAAGAACATAAAAAAGAGCAGAAAGTAGAAAATAAAAACAAATACAGAATAAAGAGGCTGGAACAAAGACAAAAGTATATTCTTTGAAAAGACTAACAAAGTTGACAGACCTTTGGCAAGATGTGTGAGAAAAATCAGAGAATACAGAAAAGGGATACAGAGATTAAGAAGTGCATAGAGCTACGAAAAGATAGCAAAAGGATAATGGAGCCATCATGAATGCAAGGGTATTTCAAAACTTAGAAGGAATGGACAAATTTCTAGACAACTTTAGTTTATCTAAGCTGTCAAATAAAATAAAACCTTAAAATTCCTAAACAATCATGGAAGAAAACAAGTCAGTGGTTAACCCTCTCATAAATAACCAGACTTAGATAGTTTTACCATCAAGGTCTAAATACACAAGAGCACAAACTCTAATTTTACAAAAACTCTTGCTGACTTAAGAGAATGAAACAATACTTCACTCATTTTGGAAGAAGACATAACCCTGTAATCAAGCCTCATAAGGACAGGATGGGGAAAGAAAATTACAGGCCATAAATATAAATGGAACTTTACTCAACAAAATGTTACTCAAATCAGATCCAGTACTGTATAAACCACATTGAGTTTATCCCCAAATTCAAGGTTACTCTAATATGAACAAATTGATAATGAATTTATAACTTCTGGTAATGGAAGACTAGAAAATGTGTACTAAACCATCCACCAAAGCCACTGAAGAAGTTAGTAAAAAAAATACACCCCCCCTCCAAAAAAAAAAAAATCCTCTTAAATTCATCAAAGAGCTGACAAGGTGGTGATGGTTGATGGGCTGTTAGAAAGAGAACAGGGTAGGAGCTGATTCCCGGGCAGCAAGAGGCTTAGCTGGGCTTCTGGTGACCTTATGGGGTTGGAGGCAGGGGATAAGAAAATAGTGTTTCCCTCCACCAGTGTTCCCAGCTTTGGGCTTCGCCCTGGAAGAACAGGTTGCAACTTTTCATTATGTAGGTGGCCCAGAAAACCTATCTTGGTAACAGACTGCCAGCGACCTTAGATGCTTGGCAGAGGCAACTAAATGTTTCCAGACATTGCTAAATGTCTCCTGGGGTACAAAATCACCTCTGGTTGAGAATCACTACCCTATACATACACCATTTGTATAAGTTTTTGGTTTATCCTTCCATTTTCTTCTTCATTAAAAATAACAGGGAGTGCACATATATATTTGTAATCTTGTTTTTTCTTTCACAAAATGTAATAATAACCTTCTGCACCTTACTGTTTTCACTTAATAACAGCACACTTTTAAAAAATTAAGTAAAGCACATTCTCGACATAATTCTTACTACACTTAAATTTTTTTTTTTTTTTGAGAGAGAGAGAGAGAGCGAGCATGTGCACACAAGCAGGGACAGGTGCAGAGGTACAAAAAGAAAGAATCTTAAGCAGGCTCCATGCTCAGAGTGGAGCCCGACACAGGGCTTGATCCCATAACTGTGAGATCATGACCTGAGCTGAAATCAAGAGTCGGATGCTTAACTGACTGAGCCACCCAGGTGCCCCTTTACTATACTTATTAGTGGGTGTATGAGTAATGTGAAAAAGTGTTTTTTTTTTTTTTAACATTAACTGTTCACACATAAATTTGTATTTTAAAATCCTAAAATAGTTTACCTTTTTGTCAACATTTACCTTGCACATTCATTTGGTTCCTCTGTGGCATTCTTCAGTAAAATATTTATGAGGTAATGCTAAAAACAAAAAATTAAGTAAAATAAAAACTTTGTTTAGTAGTTGGTTTCCCACATGTTCTGACTGTGTTCCTGGAAGTCAGGAGCTCCTGAAGGACCAGGGAGGACCTGGGGGGAAGAGACACAGGGCTCGGGGGAGTAGCCTGGTTGCAGTCTCAGCCAGGGCCTCCCTGGGCAATTAAGCCAGCGTAGGGAAGAGGGTTTCTGGGTGCACAATAAAAACCTAGCAAAGCAACTGAGACTTCAGATAGGAAATGCTCGGTTTTCTTTTACTTTAATTAGATTATATATTGTACATTAAATTATATATTATAATTATGTACCGTAAGTAGATAAGATAGATTCTGAGATTTGAAAAGCATATTTGTTTGCCTCAAAGTCAGTTGAGAGAACAAATGCTTACTTTTATTCTCTAAGGAATGAATAACCTGACATTTCAAATGATTAGTAGTATTTAATCAGGCTAACAACAGGACTGAATATTTAGTTTATTTCAATTATTCCTTATAAACTCATTGGATGCACTAATGCAGCACAATTGAACCTAAAATTATTATAAAGGATGATTCATTACATAATTAGGATCCATAGGCATGATAAACAGACCTAATAAAAAACACCCAAGGAGCCTATCAGTTATAACTGCGATGTGCTCTGATTTGGATACATTTAATTCCCTGAAAACAACAACTACTGAAACATTTAAACAATAAAGCAGAACTTTCAGGGATAAGGGGATCAATGCACAATAATGGAAGCGATGGCCACAGAGCTGGAACTAGAAGATGATAAACCTGAGAGTCACTCAAAGGTAGCAGGTACCTTGACGTCTTCGGTTCCTGTGATGACTTCACTGACTTCTGGCACAGACTGCAGCAAAGGGATCTCCCGGTAGGTGTTTGGAAAGCAGACAAGAGAACCAAGAATGGTGAGAGCTTCTGAATGAGGTGCCTGCACACAAAAAAGTGAAAGTGCTCATTTTTCTTTTGCTAAGTCAGAAACTTTACTTAAGCAACAGACTTTACTTTTTCATGATTTCAAGAGGGAATCTTTATTTTATCCTAGATAAGAAATATCAAATTAGGCTGGTTATTTTTTCCAGGTGAACAGTTAAACAAGACAGGTTTGTCTAAATGAAAAAGCAAATTTCCAAGGAATGGAAAATAATGTTATACTTGAATACAAAAAAGCACTGTGAAAACTGGTATGCAGATGCATTCAGATTCAGAAAAGCAAATGACTCAATTATGACTTTTACCTTTTATTTTTATGTGTTTTTAGTCTTAATGTTCTTGACAAGGCAGGGTAAGGGATATCAACTTAATATTATTTTTGCTGTGAAGACAGTTAACAAAAATTCATAAGGGAGAAGGGTTGGGGCTGAATTTCAGAAGGCAGGGAAAGAGCACACACCATCCACCAAATTTCCTGTCTCACCAAGAACTACTTTGCAAAATAACACATAGTGATTGACATCTAGTGATACAAAATCACTTGTTTGTCCACTACTGGAATTAGGAATATATCAAAGGAATCACCTCACGCCAGTCAGAGTGGCCAAAATGAACAAATCAGGAGACTATAGATGCTGGAGAGGATGTGGAGAAACAGGAATCCTCTTGCACTGTTGGTGGGAATACAAACTGGTGCAGCCACTCTGGAAAACAGTGTGGAGGTTCCTCAAAAAATTAAAGATAGACCTACCCTATGACCCAGCAGTAGCACTGCTAGGAATTTACCCAAGGGATACAGGAGTACTGATGCATAGGGGCACTTGTACCCCAATGTTTATAGCAGCACTCTCAACAATAGCCAAATTATGGAAAGAGCCTAAATGTCCATCAACTGATGAATGGATAAAGAAATTGTGGTTTATATACACAATGGAGTACTATGTGGCAATGAGAAAGAACGAAATATGGCCCTTTGTAGCAACGTGGAAGGAACTGGAGAGTGTTATGCTAAGTGAAATAAGCCATACAGAGAAAGACAGATACCATATGTTTTCACTCTTATGTGGATCCTGAGAAACTTAACAGGAACCCATGGGGGAGGGGAAGGAAAAAAAAAAAGAGAGAGAGAGGTTAGAGTGGGAGAGAGCCAAAGCATAAGAGACTCTTAAAAAATGAGAACAAACTGAGGGCTGATGGGGGGTGGGAGGGAGGGGAGGGTAGGTGATGGGTATTGAAGAGGGCATCTTTTTGGGATGAGCACTGGGTGTTGTAGGGAAACCAATTTGACAATAAATTTCATATATTTAAATTAAAAAAATCCAGTAGAAAAATAAAGGAATATATCAAAGGAGGCATTTCACAAGATTTCAATTCAGCCAACACTCACTAGCAGCTATGATTAGCCAAGAATAAGGCAGACACCACAATTACAGAGGTATGTCATTCACCCACCTTCCCATCTGTCCATCTTTTTTTTTTTTAAAGTTTATGTATTTTTGGGGGGGGGGATGAATAGGAGAGGGGCAGAGAGAGAGAAGACATAAAATCCCAAGCAGGCTCCCCGCTCTCTGCGCAGAGCACAGACTGTGAGATCAAGATCAAGAGGCAGATGCTTAACCGACTGAGCCACCCAGCCATCCGTTTTTCTGTCTACCTACTACTATCCAGCAATTATAATAATGGTGGCAAACACAGAGCTCTCACTCAGTGCTAAGCACTGTTCTAAATGCTGTACAAGCATTTCCTCCTAGAATACCCTCAGCAACCCAATGACCTAGATACTATTATCATTTCTACTTTACAAGTGAGAAAACTGAGGCTCGGAGAAATTCAGTGGCTTTTCAAGTGACAGACCCTGATTTGCACTGAGGCCATCTAATTCCAGGGTCCACACTGGGTCTATATTGTTAAGCACCCAGGGTAGGAAATGAAAGGGAGTCTCCCTCCCCCAGAGAGATGGCAGTGTAGCATGTGGAGTGTGGGAGGAAAGGCGAATAGCGGTTATATGTAATTCAGGAAAGCACTTGCTACATGAGCATAGAGTAGGGATATCACAAGAACCCAGAGCATTCATCTTTTACCTCGCCTGGTTCTCATCAGCACACAGGTAAACAAAAGACAATATAAAACACACAGAGAGATACTCTATGGGAACCAAAACGAGGCAATGATTTGTTCTGTTCAGGATAGTTAGGGACACTAAGACCAACTGCTGCTAAAAGTCGCATAAGCCACAGGAGCCAGCCAGGCTGGTGGAGTGAGGGAGTGAGGTGAGGGGTGAGAGGCATGGTACGGGCAGTGGGAATAGAAAAGGCAGAGGACCCGGGCACCCATGGACCTGAAAAAGGCCCCAGGTGCACAGAGCTGGGAGGCCATACAGGCCCTGGAGTTCCCCAGGGGTGGAGTCTGAGAAAGACACCCAGGGCTCTCAGGGAATAACCCCCAGGGCCACATAGCACAGTTCCCATCTCATTCTACCTGAGCAGTGATGCCCTCAGAATGGAGCAGGAGTGTGGGGTGATGGATGCTCTCAGGGAGAGCAGAGTGTCAGTCACTGAAGCGCAGTACAGGCCAGAGTGAAGGCAGCTATGAGTGCAGCCATAGCATCAGGGATGAAGTCGCTGTATCTTTAATGGTTTATTTCATTTTTTAAATACGAAGATTTGAAACCACTAGAGCAAACTGAAAATGTTAAGACTAGCCAAAGTCCGTCAGTGAGTACAGTTCCATGTTACGTGACCTGTGGTCACCACCCAGGCCTTTCCTCACCTGACCCCACGCCAGTGACGATGTAGGTGCTAGCTCCCTCGTGCCTGGGAACAACACCTGCACCATTTGGCTCTGGGACACCTTTCTTGGCTCCTAAGGTGGTCTGACAGTCTCAGTGCTGGAACACCTTGTTTTCTCAGGATCTAAACTCTGGGACACTGAGTGTGGTTCTGTGCCCTCTTCTCTCTCAGATCTATACTCACTCCCAAAGGATATTTAGCCCCAAGATTTCAATGCCTCCTAAATGTTGGACTCCTCAATATTTCTGTCTAGACCAGACTTCCCACCTGAAGTCCAGGTTTGTATGTCATCTCACCTCAGGGGTCCAGAGGGATCTCACACTGACAAGCTCCACCTAGACCACGGTCCTGTCCTTCTGTGTAACCCTACCCCATCACCAGCACTCTGTCCCCTTATCCGAGGCCTTTCCTTTCCTTTATTTTATGTTAAGAAGCAAACTCAAAACATTGTGTCATTCCACCTCTGAGGTCTCCAGCATCCCTGCTTTGGGTTTTTTTCTTTGCATACATCACTTTCTGAGCTGTTAATATCTGTAACCCCCACAAAGGCAGGGGTAAGGTGGTCTTCATCATTTCTCTACCCCAGTGGGTGCTCAATAAATACCATCCTGAGATAAAGGGAGGCTGCTGCTGTCCCTGTTTATCTGACGGACACTGATGGTCTTTCGGGTCTCTGCTTCAGCTTCACTTCTTCCATGAAGACCTTTCTAATGTATGTCTTCCCCTCCACCTCTTACCCGGCAGAATGAACACTTCCTCAGTTGGTGCCCCCGTGGGTTCTGGACGTGATTTTACCGTGGCTGCTAGAAACTCATGCACAAACATTAAACACTTGGTGTACCCATCTGGTTCCTTGAGGCTAGGGGCCTGTCATACTCAGCCAGGCCAGGTCCCAGCATGTAGTAGGCACATAGTAAACATTTCTCAAACAGCCTTGCTTTGTTGGCCCTCATTATCTGCTGCCCTTTATCCATCAGACAATCTTTTTTTTTTTAGACTTACCCACCAGACAATCCTGGTTTAGACTTCATTGAGATTGATACCTTCCCCTGAGTGGCTTAACTATTGTGTTGTACATGAGCCTGGCTTGAACTGTGGATTTTTAGATTGCGTGCTAGGCTATATAACAACTAGATATAAAACATCAGATCTTAAATAAAATTAAGGAGTTGTTACACAGCTTTATTCAATGAATGTGGTAAATGACAATACTTTTTTGGCCTAAGCACTGAGCCTAGGATGAGTCCCAATTTACACACAGGAGAATGAGGAGAATGAGGAGAATGAGGATCATGTGTCTAAGCATATTGTCTAAAGTTAGAGAACAATACAAGGCAACACTGGGATGGAACCCAGGTCCGACCCTATAGAGTTCCAGGGTAAAGCATGGGAAGGGGAATATATGCAATACTCTGTCCTATGTGCACACAACTGATCTGTCCCACTGGTGATGGACATTTGGATTAGTTCTAGTTTTAGGCTACTGTGAAGAATGTTTGCTGAGCACAAGCTCCAACCCATCTTTTGGTGACCTGTGTGTGCGTCTCTCTTTCCCTCAGCAGGGCGTAGCAAGGGTACTTCAAACTTGTATTTAACTTGTGTTAGCCAAACACTTGACTGAGTAGGTGTGCCCCATCACCAGTTCCCCTACAACTTTAAACTTCAAGTTTAAACTAAGAGAGAAATTCAAGGCAATTTATAGTTACTATTCTTTCATGTAACTTTTACATTCACATGATCATATTTTCTTTCTCTTTCTAAAAAAATATATTTTGGAAAGCTACTTTAATATCTTACTTAGCCAAGAGATAAGTTTTCACAGAGAATGACTGCCATGCATGGCATCATCTCTAGAAAGGGTGTGGCATTTTTATAGGAAACCCTAGTATCAAGTAAGGAAACTATCAATAAAGAAGTATGGTTTTCCTTCCTGTATCTTGTGAATTTGTTCAATGTTGATCTGAATGATAAAAAATAAATTTGAAGGTTCTTTGAGAATTATTATCCTAAAATCTTTTTCAGAAACAAAGAAGTATAAAAATTTCCTATTCCTTAAAAAAAACAGTTGAACAAATTCAACATCTTTCTTCCTTTTTTCTTCTACCTTTCTTTTTTATCCTCCCCTTTCATTGCTCTCTCTTTTCCCTTCCCTTTGCTTTTTAACTTATCCTTATAAGAAAAAGTTAGCACATGAAAATACCAGCATGAAATACCACCTATACATAAGGTATTAAAAACAACTTAAATTAAAATCCAGGGTTGGAGTTTGAATTTACCCTGCAGAGGAGACAGAAGTAGAGTGAAAAAGTAGCAATATATCAAACAAAATTTAGGTAGCTAAATACTCATATTGATTTCAATACAAGTCCCTGGAAAACAGTAAAGCTAATTTTATTCACACCATTTGAAAAGGAAAACAATGAGTCTGAACAGGTAACAGGTGTACAGAGCACAAAAGTGAGAGGCCCTTTATGTGTAAATGTATAAGAGTGTTCTCCCAAAAGACATTAACACATTGCGCTAATAGTGGAAGTAAATGTGGAGATTGCAGATAATCTTTTTGTAGCCATGAATGTTCATTTAGTCCACTCGATTCTCATTGTTTAGTGTAAGAATTTTGCCAGAGTTTTATTGCACAATTAATAATATGTATTCATCATCTGCTTAAAATTTAAGTGTTCTCACATTAAAAATATTTTGTTAGACTTATAAAAACCAAGATAATAATTTAAAAAATTATTGATAATGTACACTTAAAATTCTCTCTTTACTACAGACATCTGTGTGCCACCATTTACTGGAAAATGCTAATAGACTCTAAGAGACAACTCCTGCTTCTGACTGTGTAAATGTACTGAAACATTAGTGAGGATATGATTTTTCACACTCTGGCCTTTTGATGAAACGCCTTCCCAATACCAGTGTGTCATCTTATCCTACAATTTCACACATCAGCTGCCAGGGCATCTACCCCAGAGCCCAGTTTCACATTGCACTAATGAGTCAACACCTGTTAAGAGTGGAGAAATCTGAACCTTGTTAGCGATTGTGAAGTCTCCTGGGAGTTTGGATGCTGAGCATTGTCATACTCACCGCCGGCGTGTCTGTACTGAGGACCCTAGCAGCAGCCGTGATGAAGTCCCCCACCAGCATTGAGAAGCCAGGCAAACCCAGGGAGAAGAAGCGGGGTGGACAGTGCCTTATAATGGTATTTAAGATATCCTAGAGGCAGAGATAAGAAAGCACAACTGTAATTTTCAAGAACAAAATTCCAGAGTAGACAGTTCATTTGTATATATGGCCACTATATGATAATCTAAGGGAACGAGAGTCACAGAAATTTTTCAGTAAAATGGATACTGGGAGATGACTTAGTCCAAGGGCTATTGCACCCATTGTACAGGTAAGAGAAGGGACACTAAGTTGTAAGATGACATGCCCAAAATCTAAATCATGGCATTGGGACTAGACACTTCTGTCTTTCACCTTAAGGTGAAAGCTTCAGACAAGCTCCAGGGAGTATTCAGGTAGATATATAAATAAGACCTGCAAACACCTATCACCTTCAAAACTCTCCAATTTTCAAAAGTTAAAGCACACTGTTTCATTAAAAAATCTTTAAGTAGGCAAAGAGATGGAAATATTCACTCTTCGGATAGTTCTATGTGTTAAACAATGGGAATGAATAGAGCACGGTCACACTCGGGCAGTCAGTGTGGCTCTGGGTACAAGTGAGAACACCAGGTAAAAGTGCAAATGTAGCAGCTGCCATTTACATGGTGTGCAACATGAAGACCCCCGACTGCCGAGACACCTGGTGTTGCCGTGTCTGGAATGGCCTGCCGTGGTGGGTGGCAGGCTGGCCCCTGCCCACCAGCTCTGTTCTGAGACAGCCACCACATTCCAGCCTGTGGCAGAGCAGGGCTCCACCACCAGATAGTGTTCATGCCACCCACAGCCAGGCCACATCTCTGAAGCCACCTGTGCGAGTGTGTGTGTGCACAGGGAATTAGAAAACCACAAACTTCTCTTACGTACTTCTAGGCCATGCACATTAATCAAACATACTCAACTACTAGAAGTATGTGTCTTGTAGTTATTCAATCTATAGTTAGTCTCAAAATACAAGCCAAGAAGCAAAATTTTAAAAAATCTGATTTCTTGGGGAGCCTGGGTGGCGCAGTCAGTTAAGCGTCCGACTTCAGCCAGGTCACGATCTCGCGGTCCGTGAGTTCGAGCCCCGCGTCAGGCTCTGGGCGGATGGCTCAGAGCCTGGAGCCTGTTTCCGATTCTGTGTCTCCCTCTCTCTCTGCCCCTCCCCCGTTCATGCTCTCTCTCTGTCCCAAAAATAAATAAACGTTGAAAAAAAAATTAAAAAAAAAATCTGATTTCTTTTCTATGGCTATTTTAAAAATCCTTTAAAATAATCCTGGGGCACCTGGGTGGCTCAGTTGGTTAAGTGTCTGACTCTTGATTTGAGCTGGCCCAGGTCATGACCTCACGGTTCGTGAGATCAAGCCCAGCATCAAGCTGTGTACTGACAGTGTGGAACCTGTCTGGGATTCTCTCTCTCCCTCTCTCTCTGCCCCTCATCCACTCGCACACACACATACACACACACACTCTCTGTTTGAAAATAAATAAACTTAAAATAAATGAATAAAATAATCCTGATTCAATTTGATTAAATTAGAACAAAGTATAGTAGCAACACACTAAATCCTAACACGTTAAGTCCTTTGCCTCATTTCACAATCTGTTAATCTTGAAAGAGAATTTTTATGTGTTCACAATACATCTTTTTCCCCAAGACTTGTTTTTGTCCCTATGTAATGGATTTATTTGGTTTCTACGAATTGTGCTGTTCATATCCTTAAAATGACTATCCTGTGCTTACTCCATTAGAGCTCATATGTGGTAGTTTAGCTAGTACTAATTTAAAGTTTTAGCGTTTCAGCAGAGCTTTTCCTATACCAAAAATACAGAGATAGGTAAACAGACAGATAAAGGAGGGGAGGAAAGAAAAACCTGAACCATACTTCTCCCAAGTTAATGTTTAACCCTGCTTTAATCATGTCCTTTGATACACTTTAGGGTCCATATCAGCCAAGGCAAACATTCTAAGGGGCTGAGCAGATGGACGCTGTAGTTTAGAAAGTGTGTAGTAAACTCATGCTCCAAGAGTGGAACAAAAGATCCACCTTTTTCATAATTAAGCCTCTGATTAATGCCCTGGGCTCCTCACCACACACCTGTAATTACTCACAGAGGTGCGCATTGTGCTGGGCCTTGTCTAGGAATATCAGGCATCAAGCTACCCGGCAGCAGATGGAAGAACATTTCTGTTGACATATGCCACACTGAAAGGATTCATGTCAACCTGGCCAGCAAGGTAGCAGAATGCTGTGTATCTGAAGATTAATAATGCAAACAACCACCATGTTAACTTGGTTATGTTTGTGTTCATTCCATCTGTTGAGATGAGGAACTAAGCCTTGAACCCTGAAGATTTTTAAAATCTTTGGCACAAACTTAAATAAGCCATTTTCACCACTGGAATTTAGAATTTTAATTAAAAAAAAGTTTTCTGTGACAAGTTTATGGGAATTAGGAGCTAAATCCTTTAACAAGCTAAGGCCAGAATTTGCAAATGAAATCATTTTGCTTCATAAGATTCATGTGTGTAAAAGTGAAGTGCTCTGTAAATGGGGCATGCGCCAAAAATTACTAAGTTGCCACCAATGCTAAAGACAGCAGAAACACATGAAGCCGAGATAGAGTCACACGGCTCCCCGCCTCTGGATCTGCGCCAGTCACTTCCAACGGAACCTGTTTCTATGGGCAAGAAGATTGGAAAGAGAGGGCAAAATAACAGATGGCTAGCCTACCCTACTATGCCACCCACGTAAGACAGAGCCCTGAGGAGAAGTGGGGCCTGGGTAGCTGTCGCCAGTTAAAGGCAGCACTGGGGTAGGGGTAATGTGGGAGTCAAAGAGGGAACTGAATGGCTAGTCAGCCAAATTATGGCCATATGCCTGCTTATTTTGCTTGTCCATACTGAAATGGAACAACCCAAAGATTCTGTCTTTGTGATGACATGTTAAAATTAGGAATGACTGTGTGGTGCTTAAAAGAGAACAGCTGCATATACTCAATGGAGGGACATCCATTGAGGGCTCCACTCGTATCTAGTAGAATCTTCTTTCACCTTCTCCTCCCACTTTAATCACAGTAAGATCATAGCTATTGCTGGAATCTCTGAAAAAATAAAAATCTTGAGACTCTGAAACTTTTTGCACAGACTCCAAATCTTCATATATAGACAGGACTGTGCTTCCCAAATGGTCAAATTATTCATGTACAACCTCATGCCTTCTGCCAAATTTACATCCAAAGTGAACATTATTTGTCTCTTTTTCAAAGCAACTCATTTTTTTTAAACTTAAATAATATTATTCTGGAAAATCAGTGTCCTATGTCACAAGTAGAAAATAGTCCTATGTCAATACAGTAACAGTAAATCAAGGCCACTGAATTTTTGCTACATATCACTATCTGATGGAGGCTCCCCTTGTTACAAAGGGTGGTTTGGTCTTCAGGGTGGTGTGAGAGTTCTGTACCTGCTCCAACTGGCCTAGCTGAGAGAGTATCAAGGACTGATGGAGATGAGGAAAGGGGCCATCGTTCTTCCTGGATGACTGGAGGCTGTTTAGTGAAACCTCTCCTGTGACTACCAGTGGGAAATGCCCCTGCACTCAAACCCTGGTGTGATGAAAAGTGCACTGGGACTGGGGTCTCAAGGCTTAGGTTCAAGGCCGAGTGTATGTGACTGCAGGCAGATCATGTCATGCCTAGAGCTTCATGTTTCTCTTCCATTAAATGGGATGACTCCCTCCCACAGAGTCCTATCTAATGACATAGATGTGAACACATGCCTTTCTAAACTGAACTGAAAAGTACCATACAGGAGTAAAGACAGTGACAAGTAAAAAAAATGATTTTTTTTTTTCAAAAAGAAAGGACTCTGAAGGATTTTACTTTCTAGAATTTACTTTGTAGGTTTTGGTTGTAGAATTCTCTGGACTATTATTTTGCTGATATTTGGAAAGAACATTTTAGAAGATTTTGAAGGTGGCATAAATAAGACTCTTAGTTGACATTATCCCAGATATTAAAAACCTCTAGACATTAGTGCTTTCAAATAACATTCCTAGCAAAGCATTATAGCCATTATAATGTATATAATTTCTAAGGCAAATAATAAAATCAAAACAGGAAAATGGTATTTTTAGATTTTTCTAGCTTCCATTTTTCTAAGGAGTTCTAGAATTTGCCTGAAACAAGTGACTCTGGTAGCAAAAATTAGTTTCTTTTTCCATACTCTAAATAGACTAAAAACAATAAGCTAAACAATAAGTCCAATGAAAAATGGACTCTAAAACAGGAATTAGGCATATTTTTGAGAACTGACCAGTGTGAAGCACAAAGTTCTTTCACATTTTTTCAAAGGAAATAAAATTCATTCTGCAACATGCTGCCATATAGTAAAAAGACCACCAAACTAGTATTTTTCTCCTGTTTCTGGTTAAAAGTCCACACGCATGCTACACAGTGAGTGTGAAAGCTGCCCTGTAAGATGATAATTGTGAATTTGCAGCTTATCAAAAGATTCCAGCTTATGAGAAAGTAACTGGTGAGAACATCTGTCTCTTATCACTGATCTTACAAAAAATCAGGTAATTCAAATAGAGGCATGTTGTTTCCTCTCCTCCAAAGCACCGTTTTATAAACACAAACCGCATTCAGCCTGGTAAATGAATCGCTTTAATTGAATGCTATGTACACAGTAACTGGAAAAACCATAAGTGATAAGAAAAACATATGGTGATGGCAACAGAAATTGGTTTATTCATTTTGCATAGTGTTGTTTCTTTAGTTCTCTTATAATTGACCTTTAGAACGATAAATGTGTAAAATAATTTTGTTTATTATGGCTCCAAACCTTCCAACAATTACACAAAATGAAAATTTAAAAGGAAGGATTCATTCTGGAAGCATTTCCATTGTTTACATAATTGCACAGCTATAATTTAGTGCTCATGTTGTTATGGAAAATAAAAAAAAAGGGCCATTACAGGCCATTTCAATTCAAAATATTGCACAGTGGTGTCAAAAATGGGGGAAAATGTTCACTTTAAAGCAGTTTAAAATGGATTAACCCT